AAAAAAAAAGGAGGCCTAAAAAACCTAGTTTATCTTTATCTTAGTATTCCTTGTCATTTTTAAAGTTGTCCCAGCATAAAAGATGGGGAAAGAATGGGTGAATTAGTAACTTGCTTACCAAAGAAACTTCCTTGATGGGATGAAGTGGGGTGTTTCCAAGAAATTTTTATTTTTCTCAAATTAAAAAAGAAAAGAAGAACCGAGACCTCATACTTAACAATAAAAAGGTATTAAGTACTACTGATCATTCCCAGTTATTTTACGTTCTACACAATTGGGAATCATTGGTAGCACTTAGTACCGTTTTGTAAGTGTGAGCAACTACTTGTTAATTTTGTTTCACTATATTTTCATATGTAAGGTGAATTTACTTTGATAAATTCTATTTACTCTCATCTGGGGATAGAAATGCTATGGTTTTACTCTTTTTGCTTATTAAAATTATTTTTAAAGATGTCTAAAACACTCTCAATTCACAGGAGTTAGAGCGAAGTGGAAATAATTTAAGTATTATTTCTAAGACTAAGTGGCTATCACCGATAATAAGAATCTGAATTTTACCTGTCATTATTTGGTAGATGAGCTAGTCCTCTAAGGTAAATCTATTTTATTTTTGCTGATTTATCACAAATTGTTATTTTTTTAAAGAGGCCAAACATGGTGGCAGTTCTAGCCCCAAAGCAGATGTGCATGATGATAGTACCTGAAAAAGAATACCACTGTGGTTACACTTGACTACACAGCGAGCGAATAGTGCTCAGGGCACTTCCTACAGGGTGCATCCTCTTGGAACCAGTGGCTTCTTTTCACCATAACAAACCCAATGTAGATCAAATTAAAAGGGCTAGCTTGGGTACAGCACCACAGTGCCCTTTCTTGGGGATCTCTGTCAAACACAGAAGTGGTATCATCACAAATACACTCTGGATTTGACAAAGTTGCATAGGAACTAATTGATTTGTCCCTGAATGGACTTTGTTGGTGTTAAAACAGGTCTTAATTAAAATATACCTCTATGGTTTCAATCCTTTGGAAATGTGGCTCAAGAGCATGGTGTGCATAAGGGTTTTATTTACCTGATTTTGCAAGAGCTGAGGCAGGAAACAACGTTTTGTATATTCAGTGAAATAGCCGCAATATTGGAAATTGAGTTTGGGTATGAAAAGTTCATAATTTGTATCTCCAGTTGTTCAAATTATGTATCCATCACAAAATAGAGACACTTCTCTCATGATTTCTGAGCCTTTTCTATAGAAATTAAATTTAAAAATGAACATGAAAACAGCTTAATTTGTAATTTCTTATGGAAGCTAATTAAATTTCCTTGTATCAACAAAAATGGTGAAAACTATAATCTATTCACTCCTTTCTAGAATTACAGCTGCATAGCCCTGGTAGAAATTACGGAATAAACTGGTATCATGATAAGTGACTTTAAGATCTGTGTTCATGGCAGTAAAAATAAAACAATAATTAAATCATTCTTCTTGATGAAGAGTACTGGCTCTGGAATCAGATAGCTTGGATTCTAATTCTGACTCTGGTTTACTTTGTCTCTAGGGCAGGTCCCTTAACCCTTCCTGGATTGTTTCTTTCTTTCTTTCTTTTTTTTTTTTTAAGATTTTATTTATTTGACAGAGAGAGACACAGCGAGAGAGGGAACACAAGCAGGGGGAGTGGGAGAGGGAGAAGCAGGCTTCCCGCGGAGCAGGGAGCCCGATGAGGGGCTCGATCCCAGGACCCTGGGATCATGACCTGAGCCGAAGGCAGACGCCTAATGACTGAGCCACCCAGGCGCCCCTGGATTGTTTCTTTTAACTGTACAATGGGCATAGTAACAATAACACCTATTAGAGGGCTTCTGTCAGAATTTGCTGACAGACCCGTATAACGGTTAGCACAGTGCCTGGCACACTGTAAATGGCTGTTATTATTACATGTATATTATATGTGCCTTGTTTCCTCAACTTGATTGCAAACTTTGAGAAGGCAGGGACCATCTCTTACAGTTTTCTGGTCCCTTCATCACCTAGCACACTATCTTATAAATTAACAGAGTTGGCCCTGAGATTTAAAACTAAAGGGAAACTCAGGGTTAGATTATAAAGGACCTTGACTATCAATTTCCCTAGGGCTGCTCTGGACCTGTCTCCCACTCTAGTAGAGCCCCTGAATCCACTTTTGAGTTGTGGCAATGGTAGTTCATGGCCATTTCTTAGCCTAATCAAGAGCAGCCAATCCAATCAAGCATCCAGACAATCAGCCAAAGGCCTGAGGCTATATGCAGTGCAACAGAAATTCCAGATGGTCGTGGCATTTAGGAGCTGTTTCTGGGTTTCTTAGGCATTTCTCGCTCCTGGGTGGTGTATAATTTCTTTATCCCATCTAAGTTAAATCATGCAGAGTATAATTTATGCCCTCCTTTAGCTCTTCTCATGGTAGAGTGATGAGCTAGCTATCATTTTCCTTATCAAAGGACTTATTGTCACTGAACAACTTATCAGCAACAAGCTCACAGATAACCCATGGTCAACCTACTGATCTGTGTCCTTTAAACATGCTTTCTATGCTTTACTTCTTCAGTTTTTTTATTGAACAGTTGGAGCTATTCCAAAAAAGAACTAAGTTTCATGCTGATACTTAGTATTTAGAATTTAAACTTAAATTCTATTTATCAAAATTACCTGGGGCGCCTGGGTGGCTCAGTCGTTAAGCGTCTGCCTTCGGCTCAGGTCATGATCCCAGGGTCCTGGGATCGAGCCCCGCATCGGGCTCCCTGTTCAGCGGGAAGCCTGCTTCTCCTTCTCCCTCTCCCACTCCCCCTGCTTGTGTTCCCTCTCTCGCTGTGTCTCTCTCTGTTAAATAAATCAATAAAATCTTAAAAAAAAAAATTACCTGCCTTCTGTTAGTAAACACTGAGTATAGCAACAATGTTTGGCAAGGCTTGGTTTCCTTATGGATAAATGTGAGAATCCCATTTTAACCTGGTATAATCTAGGAGTTGGAGGTAGCCTTTGAGAATTTAATATTTTCACCATCACTATAAAATATTTGGAAAGTTTGGATAAGGCCTTCCTTCTGGCTCTTCTCATTCTTCCCAATGCTCTGCCAGTAATATTTCCTCATGTAGCTGGCACTGCAGCTCCCTCTTGGATGTTTTTCTTTTCTTTTTTTCTTTTTTTTTTTTTTTTTTAAAGATTTTATTTATTTGACACAGAGAGAGCTAGAGAGAGCTAGAGACAGAGAGCAAGCACAAGCAGGGGGAACCGCAGGCAGGGAAGAAGCAGGCTCCCCGCTGAGTAGGGAGCCTGATGTGAGGCCTGATGTGAGCCTGGGATCATGACCTGAGCCGAAGGCAGCCGCTTGACCAACTGAGCCACCCAGGCGCCCCATCCTCTTGGATATTTCTTTTGTCCACTTCCATTCTATCTTAATTTAAAAAATAAATTCCTAAAATTTTTTTAGTTCTATTTTGTCAGCGTACACTTGCAGCTGCACACAAATTTGATTATAAGCTCTATGGTGCTGTGAAAAGCTTGCAATTCCCCCCCCCCCCCAAATGACAGGCAGTGTAAATTACAAAGTACAAAATAGTGTATGTTAAAGCACTGCCAGCAATAAATAAAAACGGCTTTTGGGGAAGAAATAACTTTGGAAATGAGGGAGAACGAGGCGGGAGGAGGAAACCGTCCACATACACAGTTAGGAAAAAGCCACATTTAGAGGAGCATCTGAGGGATAAGGACAATGGAAACTCGTAAGGCATCTTGATCCAACGCAGTCCTCCAAGGGGTAAGTCACAGAGGGTAGTTAGGTTGTGTTAGATTTGCTAGTTTCTTTCCTGAAAGATACTGGACTTTTATTTCCCAAGGACCTCAGCCCACTCAAGTGAGTATCTAACTTGTGCCAGGGATCTGCACAGGAACTGGATTTGCAAAGGTGAAAAAGAGCACAGTTCGTCTTCAAGCGTTTCTAGCCTTTAAAACAGAACACCCTAAGAGGTAAGTATAAAGGGCCCTGCTGGAAAAAGAGAAAGCAGCTAGAAGCTTGGAAGAGTCCTCAGGGCTCCACGGAGGAAGTGAGTTGTGGTCCGAAGGACAAACAGAATTTTGTTAGGCTTTTTATCTTTCAAAAATAAACGATAATGTGAAATAAAGAGATCATCCCGAAAGGAAAGGGTTGGGATGAAGGATGACGTATTATATGGAAGATTTAAAACACATTTAACTGGAGCAGGAACTTAAACACACCAGTCCCCTATAACTGTCAGGAAAGAGGGGTCTAGATGACAAATGGGTGCTAACTGATTAAACTGACATTCACCCCCGTGCAGCGTCTTCTTCAGACTTGCACCTTGCGAAATGTACATCTTGACTGCTGTTCTCGAAAATCTAGTTAGGGGCGGGAAGACAGTGCACCCACTTTCATCAGATTTTGAACACAACATAGGGAGAAGGCTACTTTCATGGTTCCAAACCCTTTTCTCCGCTTAGCCTCTGTAGTTCTAAGGGCTGTACGAGGTCTATCTGCAGGGATTTTAGAGGTTTTCCTCATCCTCTTCTGAAGAGAAGTAATAAAAAGCATTTAAATTAGCGGGAGGGCGGTTAACACCCGCAGCCCTGGCTCCACTGCACGCCTCACCGCCCGCGGGGGTTCACTCCGCGCCTGCCTTCGGCTGAGTCCAACAGCGCTAACGGCCGCCGGGCAGCAACGGCTCCCGGGCAGCGCGCTGCGAGCGTTGTGCGCTCGGGACTCGCTGGCCAGCGGCGAATTCACAAGGCGCAGGGAGGGGGGCGAGGCCGAGCCGGGCGGCCCTTGACGAACAGTCCTTCCGGCCAATTGGAAGCCTGGTCGACTTTTCCCCCTGCCAATAGGGAGCAGGACCCAGGCTGAGGGGCGCTTCCCGCGGGCTGCGGCTGGATTCGATCCTGCGCGGCGGCTGCTAAGGCGGGGGCGGAGGCTCGGCCTGGGCGGCGGGGAGCGGATTAGGGGAGGAGGGAAGACCGGAAGCCACGGTCGCGTCCCCATCCTTAGATTCGCTCCCCCGAGCTGGGAGCGGAGACGGAGGAGGAGGGAGAGGCTGAATGTTGGCTCCGTAATAAAGGGGAGCGGCCGCTCCGGAGCCTCCTCCCGGGGCGCCCCCCCCCATCTCGCCCGCTCCCTGCGACCCACCCGGCTCCTGGACGCCCGGCCCCCGAGGCCGGCCCGGCAGCGCAGACCTTCGCTGAAGAGACTCGGCCAGTGGCGGGGACTGGCCGGCGGCGTCCGAGGCCCGCGCCCCGCCGCCACCCCCACCCGCTAGCCCGCCGGTCCCTCCGGCCGCCGCCATGTCCTCCTCCTCATCCTCTCCCAGGGAGACGTACGAGGAGGACCGCGAGTACGAGAGCCAGGCCAAGCGCCTCAAGACCGAGGAGGGGGAGATCGACTACTCGGCCGAGGAAGGCGAGAACCGCCGGGAAGCGACGCCCCGGGGCGGGGGCGATGGCGGCGGCGGCGGCCGGAGCTTCTCACAGCCGGTAACAAAGCGCGGCGCCCCGTCCCCTGTGCCTGGCGGCTCCTCGGGAAGGCAGGGCCCAGCGGCGGGGACTCGGCCCCGGGGCCTTCCGCGCGCCCAGTTTCCCTCTGCTGCTGCGCTGACCCGGTCGGGAAGCGCCGGCTCCTCTCTTTAGGGCTTTTATTCTTCGCCTTACCTGGTTCCCGCATCCCGACCGCGAACCCGGCTCCGGCCTGGCTGCAGGCCCCGCGTGCGAGTTGTCTGCCGGCCCTGAACTTGGGGAGGGTAGCCGGGCGGGGGCGGCGGGGCGGCTTTGCTTCCGCTCGGGGGGGCTTTGGTGCGCGATTAGCTCTTTGTTAGTTTAACTCCTCCGGCGGCTGGCCGGCGTCGAGACGACCCTCTCTCTCCCTTCTGCCCCTGTGGCCGCAGCGTCCGCGCGCCCGTCTCGGTCACAGGATGGTTGCGTGGGTTCCCCCGGGGTCTCTCTTCGTCTGGGTCCTGAGCAGAGCCGTAACCGAATGACAAATTGCGCTCTGGCGCTCACACCCTAGTTCCCCTGAAGGTTTAATTTCAGAATTTTTACTCTTGGAAGGCATGGCGTGCCTGCTTTGCTACCCAGTTTTATGATTATTGCTCAGTACAGATTTTAGCTCTTCGATTAAAAAAAAAAAAATTGTTGGTAGGTGTTAACACCAGCCTTATTTTCAAATAAAACGAATCTTAAAATCGTATCAGCTGTTCATTGACCCTTTATTCCAAATTTGCCCCACGAAAGGAGAAACTGAACTCGGAACTGCATTAAACACACATTCCTGCATTCTTGTTGCTCTTATCAGAAATGTGAGCTGGAGGCAGAAGGAATGTGAAAATCGTCTTATCCACAGCAAGTAGTAGTAACTCAGCTTCAGTTGCATAGAGACTTTAAGGAAACAAAGCAAAGCAAAAGTTTTTGCCCTTTTTTGGTGCACTTAAGATGTCTTAATGGCTTAGATGACCTTTAAACATTTATCACATTTTAATTGTGATTTTTTGAAAGGAAGCTTTACCTGAAGTTTAAGAAATTGTACACGTATATTCTACTTAGAATGTTTAATAAAAGTATTAAGAGGCAAATTATAAGTCTTTTAGCTGTTGTTTGAATTTTTATGTAAAAAATTCAGGTCAGTAGTCCCCAGTGTTAAGAGTTTCCAAATATGAAACAGTGACACATAGGTAGGTTTCAACACATTAGAATAAAGGAACTTCTTCTTCCTCTAAAAAATGTTTCCTTATGGGGGCGCCTAGGTGACTCAGTCGTTAAGCGTCTGCCTTCAGCTCAGGTCATGATTCCAGGGTCCTGGGATGGAGCCCCACAAGGGCTCCCTGCTCGGCGGGAGGCCTGCTTCTCCCTCTCCCACTCCCCCTGCTTGTGTTCCCTCTCTCACTGTCTCTCTCTCTGTCAAATAAGATCTTTTTAAAAAAAAATAAATGTTTCCTTATGGCTAGATATGGCTTTTGATTTTTGTGCCTAGGTATTTGGAATATTCAAAATGTAGCTTGGGCATGTGAATAAAAGAAATGCATGTTTTCTTAAAGTTTCAGTTCAAAGCCAATTCCACTGTGGAATTTGGAAGCAGGAATATTGTAACTGATATTTTAGATGGAGCCAATGGATCAGTGTATTTCTTTTGCCAAAAGTCCTCTAAGTTTTTTGTGTAGTAGCATGAAATGTCTTCCCTTAAGTGTCTTGAAAAGATACTTTAATCTTTTTATGAAAAAAATTTTTTTGAATAATAGATTAGATATTAAGGCAATAGTATTATTTTGGATGTTGGGAAGAAAATAATACATAATTAATATATCCAGAGTGAATTGTATCTGGCAGTGGAAATAGCACTGGGCAGGGCTTGGGGAGAGTCAGAAGTCTTAGCTAACATACAATATGTGCCTTAGGGAAAGTCCGTTAACTACTACTCTTGAGTTCGCTTAGTCTGTAAAATATAAAAGTTGAACCTTTCCATACCTGAAGTTGTAGTTCAGTGATTACTGTAATGCAGCTTTTAAATTACCCAAGCAGAAACTACTATATGCAGATTGAGTTATAAATTCTAATTTTTGTTTATTTTACTGTTGTTTTGTTTCTTAGGAGAGAGTGAACTGCTTTTATTTAACTGTAGAACCAATACTGCACTGTGAAATCTAATGAAGGTTTATTTTTCCTGTTTTAAACCTTTTTATTCATGTAAATTTTGGTACTATTTTGAAATTATTGCAACTATGGAAACCTGTACATAATAAAATTTTATTAGGATAGGCATTCCCTGGATAGAAGTTTAATGTCTAGTGCGTCATCAGCCAGAAATATGGTAATTCATCTAACCGAAATGAGTTTGGCTCAACCTCAGTTGTCCTCCAGTCCAGCCAGGGAAGAAATACCTTGTGGTCAAACTGTTAAACAACAGTAAATGCAGATTAGGTACAATGATAAGCAATCTTTTCAACTCCAGTTGGAGGTTTGTAAGGTGCAAAGTAAGACTTCAAAAATTTATATTATTTAGCTTTAGATAATTAAGTTTCCACTAGTGCTTTAATAATGTATTAGATTTAAAGAGGAAAGTGAGTATTTAAGAAGAGCAGTGTTGGGGTGCCTGGATGGCTCAGTCAGTTAAGCATCTGACTCTTGATTTCGGCTCAGGCCCTGATCTCAGGGTTGTGAGATAGAGCCCCAACTCAGGCTCTGCGCTTAGAGGCTATTTGTCCCTCTCCCTCTGCTCCGCTCCTCTTACGTGCTCTCTGTCAAATAAATCAATCTTTTAAAAAAAGAAAAGTAGTGTTTTTACAAATGCCCCTGTTTAAAGATGAGTTGATCATTGTGAATGATAATGATGTGTTAAGGTGTATAGAGAAATGAGTTAGAAAAAAAGAAATGCATTAGCAGGTTGGATATGAGAAATAAGACACTTCAAATTTATGGCTTCTGGCACTTAATTTGAAGATCAAAAATTCCTAGAGTGTTTCAGATTCACTGGGCTGCATTGTTGAACAAAGCTGGATTATGGAGGTTTGTGCTATGTATTATACAGTTTATTCTCATAGAGTGAGTGGTGTTCTTAAATTTAGCAGGACCTTCAAGATCATATTAATGGTAAATTTCTGTATCTGCTTATTTTTAAGAAAGCAGCTTGACTTCCAAATATTAGGGTTTTACTTGGCAAAACCAATTGAGGAATTAAATCGGGAGGTTACATAGAAAAGATCTGCTTTTATAAAGACCGGTATCAATAAAGATTTATGGAGTGCTAATTCATTTTGGAGACTTTCAAGTTTTTCTTTTATTCTATTCTGCCAGTGAGTAAACAGGCAAATCAGGTTGTTAAAGTGGTTTGTTTGCTGATGAGGTGAAAATTTAAGTTTCTCAACTTTTAATAAATAGACTCACAAGATGGCAAAATGCCAAGATAAAAGTGTAGATCCTAGGATTTTCTAATGGTATGTATTAGGTAGAAAATCTAGTTTGAATTTAAGATACACTTCTATACTTTTAGGGTCTGAATTACAGAGATGCATAGGGATATTATGATGGCTTATTGGATGACTATGGGATGGGAGATGAGAGGGGGTCACTTTGTTAGCTTAACTCCCACAGGAAAAAGTTAAGAGGCTGACAGTGAGCATAGTAACTACACCCTGGGCAATAAAAAAGTTAAAGGATGTGTGCCCTGGAGGTAAGTGCCAGCGTCTCGAGGCTTCTATAGCAATAACGTTCTCTGTCTCCTTTAGCTAAGCTGTTGCAATAGAGTGAGGATTTTCTGGCTTGGCATTAGGAAAGAAGTGAAAAGTAATAGGTTTTACTATCTTTCGGTTTTAACAAGTCACTGTATTTCTTTGTGTTAGTACATACAGTGAAAAGAGCTGCTAATAGAGCCGTAAGCCCAACCAAGGCAGGTGTCTTGGATCTGCTACCAACATATTTTGTGACTTAACCTCTCTGGAACTCGGCGATCACATGAGAAGGTTGGATTAGATGATCACTGTGATCTCTTCACTCATCAAAAAACAATACTTGAGCCCTTTTTGTGTGCTAGGTGCTGTTCTCAGTGATGGAGATATAAAAGTTTAAAAAAAATTCCGTATCTAAAAATCTGTGATTCTACGTCATTTAGTGCTTTTTTTTGCCTCTATGAATTGAATACAACTTTCAAAGCTTGTACTTGCAGCCACAGCAACAATTCAGGTGAGCTTAAGCAAAACAAAAAGTTGGCAGAGGTAGGGAGTTTATTGGCCCATGTAACTGAGAAAGCCAAATTGTGGCAGTGGTTTCAGGCATGGCTGGATCTAGGGATTTAGATGATGTCATTGAGACTTGATTCTGTATGCTCTATTTCCTCTCTGTAGTTATAAAGCTAGACTTACATTCTTTTTTTTTTTTTTTTTTTTTAAGATTTTTGTTTATTTATCTGACAGAGACACAGCGAGAGAGGGAACACAAGCAGGGGGAGTGGGAGAGGGAGAAGCAGGCTTCCCGAGGAGCGGGGAGCCTGATGCGGGGCTTGATCCCATTCCCTGGGGATCATGACCTGAGCTAAAGGCAGACGCTTAACGACTGAGCCATCCAGGCGCCCCTAGACTTACATTCTTACAGCTAGCAAGTGGAGAACACCGTTCTCCCCAGTGTCCGTATGTATCCCTTCTGATCAACACTTTTTATCTTCTCTCTCCCTGCAACTAATCACTGGGCTACCTCTGAAATTGGTCAGGCATGACTGTGTGATTGAGAATACCAGTGGAGTAACAGAGTTCCAGGTGCGTGTGTGTATGTGTGTATGTGTTTAATCAGGAGAAGGGAAAGGGGTTCTGGGTAGGCAAAACCAAATAATTTCTACTACATGAGCAAAAAAGCAAAGGTTTTTTTTTTTTTTAATTAAAAAATTTTTTTTTAATTTAAAAAAAGTTTTTTTTTAAAGATTTTATTTATTTGAGAGAGAGAGAGAGCATGGAAGGGGGGAGGGTCAGAGGGAGAAGCAGACTCCCCACTGAGCAGGGAGCCCGATGCGGGGCTTGATCCCGGGACTCTGGGATCATGACCCGAGCCGAAGGCAGATGCTTAACACCCAGGAGCCCCAAGAGCAAAGGTTTTTTAAAAAGTTATTTGAATCATATGGCTGTTCTTTTTAATCTTCGCTCTGTTATGTGATCAAGTGTATCTAAAAACTTTAAATAAGAAAATTAAAGGGTTTCCCGTATTTTGGATCTGCTGTATTGTTTCTTTAGGAAAAAAAAAAGAAACGGGTGCCTGGGTGACTCAGTTGGTTAAGTGTCCAACTCTTGATTTTGGCTCAGGTCATCATCTCAGGGTGGTGGGATCGAGCCCATGTTGGGCTCCATGCTGGGCATGAAGCCTGCTTAAGATTCTCTCCCCGCCCCCCTTTCTCCCTCTCTAAAAAAAAAAAAAGTAGAAGAAGTAAAGAGATATGATTGTTTAATAAGAAAAATTGTAACACTCTAAGCATAGTGTGAGTTAAAAAATATTCGCAGCTGTCCCTTAAAACACCTTTTTTCTTCATTTGTATGAACAACCCAAATAAAAGGGATAACCTTAAATCTCTAGAAATACTGTACTCATTTCTTGGTATAGTGTTGATAAATTCTTTTTTTTTTTTTTTTAAAGATTTTTATTTATTATTTGACAGAGAGAATGAGAGAGAGAGAGCACATGAGAGGGGGGAGGGTCAGAGGGAGAAGCAGACTCCCCGCCGAGCAGGGAGCCCGATGCGGGACTCGATCCCGGGACTCCGGGATCGTGACCTGAGCCGAAGGCAGTCGCTCAACAGACTGAGCCACCCAGGCGCCCCAATTCTTTTTTTTTTAATGTTGATAAATTCTAATGCATCCAGAGAATGATTACCAGAATGGAAAAGACACTTGAAATCACATTATAAGAGGAATGACAGAAGAATCTGGGGCTATTTAGCCTGAAGGGTATATTTAGGTATGGTTTGAGTAATCATTACAAATAATTGGAGGGTTATCATTAGAAGAGGGAAATGTAGATAAGGGCAGGGGGCACCATTTAATATTTCTTGAACCCTTGCTAAATAACTACATCTTGCACTGTGCTAGACATTTTATATTTATTGTTCCACTTATTTACTGCAACCTTACATGATACGGATTTTTTTTTTTTAATAGTGAAACCAAGGCTTGAAAAGGTAATTAGCCTAAGATCAGTGAGCCAGTAAGTGTCCAAAGATTCAAATGCTGGTCTGACTTCAAAGGCCATTTTGGGTACAAAACTACAGAGAGACAGATTTGGGTGCATATTATGAAGAATTTTCTAAAAATATAATGGACTGTCTCATGAGTAGTATGTTTCTTGTCATTGGAGGTGTGTAAGGAGAAGCTGGATAATCACTTGGCATTGGTTCTGTGTCTGGTGTTGGGGTATGAATTATTGAATTTGAGGTTGGTCTTTTTTAATCCTGTAATTGTAAGAGGGCAGAAGAAGGCTGTTCATTTGCTCTTGAGCATGTGTTGTGCTATTAAGCATGTGTTGTGTATAGAGATGTCGGGAAAACAGAAAAGCCTAATAAGGACATTGTGCCTGGCCTTTACTGGTTTACAGTTGTTGCTTTACTATGTGAAGAGACATTAATGGGCCCTTTTTTTTTTCTTTTTATTAACATGCATTATTTCAGGGGTACAGGTCTCTGATTCATCAGTCTTAACACAATTCACAGGCTCACCATAGCACATACCCTCCCCAATGTCCATCACCCAGCCACCCCATCCCTCCAACTCCCCTCCACTCCAGCAACCCTCAGTTTGTTTCCTGAGATTAAGAGTCTCTTATGGTTCGTCTCCTCCTCCGGTTTCGTCTTGTTTCATTTTTCCCTCCCTTCCCCTATGATCCTTTGCCTTGTTTCTCAAATTCCTTATATCAGTGAGATCACATGATAATTGTCTTTCTCTGATTGACTTAATTTGCTTAGCATAATACCCTCTAGTTCCACCCATGTCATTGCAAATGGCAGGATTTCATTTTTTGATGGCTGCATAATATTCCATTGTGTGTGTGTGTGTGTGTGTGTGTATACACCACATCTTCTTTATCTAATGGGCCCTTATTCCTCTCAGAATCTTCATTTATACTCTCTTGAGCTTCCCTTCTCTTCAGAAGAGTGTGGTCTTCAATCAGCAATAGTCAAAATTAGCACTTAAAGTTGGTATTATTAGAGTTGGTCCTTGAGATAGCCTTTAAGGGGCTGGGAGTTTGGAATGATTATGACTAGACTGGTCTATAGCCTGCAAAGGGGACCAAATAATGCCTCCATTATAGTTGACAAAGTTTGCCTAAAGAAGGGATAGAGTAATTAAAAAAGAAAAAAAGTATATGTAAAGTGAAGGCATGCCTTCATTTGCTAAGTGCTCACTTGGAATATTGTTTTTAGTCTGATAAGTAATCAGTATAAATAGATCAGGAGGGAGCCTAGATAACTAAATATTTGAAATGGAAGGACTTTGGGCTTCTGTATGAGAAAAGATTAAAAAAAACTTTTTGAACTGGCGAAGACATGATCAAAGTGTTAATACATGGATGGGGTAAATAATACTGATTTAGTCACCAATTTAGGAATTGGATGATGCTTTAAAGAGGTAATTTTAGGGTAAGTAAAAGAAGTACAGATGATTTCAGATTTCTTACCACCAGTATGTAGCATAGGTAGAGATAAGAAAATACTGATTTGAGAAAAATTTTAGGGGGCGCCAGGGCGGCTCAGTTGGTTAAGTATCTGACTCTTGATTTTGCCTCAGGTCACGATTGAACCCCAACGTTGGGCTCTGCCCTGAGCATGGAGCATGCTTAAATTAAGATGCTCTCTCCCTTTTCCTCTACCTCCCTTCCCCTCCTTGTGCACACTCACTCTTTCTCTCTACAAACAAACAAACAAAAAAAACCCCAAAACTTTTAATATTGGGGGCAAAAGGGGTGGTAAAAATATTGTTTGAAAAGATATCACTAATATATTAGATTTATATTTGGAAACAACCCTAGGATTTTTTTCTTTTTTTACTTAGAAGGGATAAAAAATTTTTAAGTTCAGGAAAAGGGGACATAATATAAAGATTAGAGAAATATCAAGGTAGATAAACTCATGAATGGCATATTCACCGAGTGGGAATTAGGAAAATACAAGGGGAATAGGATATGTTCTCTGCCTTGAAGTTGAGATAATTGTATCTTCCCCTAAGTACCATGTTGCTTGCATTTAATAGCTTCTAGCTTCTGAAGAATGACTTAAGTCTTGAACTGTTCCATTTAGGAAATAAAATTAAATAATAATATATTAATATCAGATATTTTTGAGGGATTTTAAAAAATTGGTCCTATAATCCATTTCTTTGTGAGAAGACCAATTTGAAAAATAGTCATATTTTTTAGCGTTGTATTCAAGATAGTGGTTATCCACGATGGGAAGGGAGGTAGGAGATATATTCAGCTGATTGGTAGTGTTTTATTTATTAAACTGGGTGGTGAGTTAATGACTGTTTATACTGTTCTTCATACCTTATTGTAGGCCTTAAATATTATATAGTAAAATAATTTCCCAACTTTTTATTATGTGAAATATTCAATTACATATGCCCTTCACCTAGATTCAGCAGTTTTTAACATTTTGCCATTTGGGATTTTATCTCCATATGTGTATATCTATATTTATATACATTTTTTCCCCCCAAACTGTGAAAGTAACTTGTACACACTGTAACAATCCATCCCTAAATATCCCAGCTTTCCTAAGAATAAGGATATTCTTTTCACATAAACATTACCATTATCATAATGGTACCTAAGACAATAAATAGTTCTGTTACATAATATAATATCCTGTCTGTATTTAAATTTCTCCAGTTGTCCCTAAGATGTCTTTTATAGCAGTTTTTATCTATTATAAAATAAAGACTCAAGTAATGCCTTTGGTTGTTGTCTCTCTTTAGTCTTAATCTAAAATCTTCCACTTTTTTTATACTAACTTTTTGAAGAGTCTTGGCCAATGTAGTTTTCTTCTGCACATTTACCTTCACCAGCTGATTTCTAAGGATCAACTGAGATGACTTATTTCTTGAAGTTTATTGTTGTCTCATTGTTTTTAGAGTAAAACTTGTTTAAATATGTGTTCGGAATTAAGTTTTCAGGTGTGATTTAGAGCTCTTTTCCTGCATTGTTGTCCAGTTATATTTAGTAGCTTAATGATAATGCACATTTGGTTGTTGAGTTTCACTTAGGTAGAGTCTCATTTGTTAAGGTTGTTAATAGAGTGTTTGGTTACATAGTGTACAATCAGAATGATTCATTTCAAACTTAGTGGCATGTAATGAATATCTGCTTGACCATAGAAAAGACTCAGCATAAGCAATTCAAATGAAATTCCACCTATTGAATTAGTATTTGCAGAGGACTGAATTTATTTGTTGAATTTGACAGTAGTGTAAGAGAATAGTCGTCCCATGGTTGCTTTACATATTTAAATCAGCTCTTTTCTTTTCTTTTTTTTTTTTTTCCAGCTCTTTTCTTTAAGCCATGATGTAATTTTTTTATTGGCAGGGCACAGGACTGTTATATTTTTCTAATAGTCTTTATAGTAAAGAGAAATTGGTGAGTCTTTTAAAATAGTCATAAAGAGATTTAACTTTCTTAAAATGATTAAGTTTTAAAGGTAAAATATTGGTGCTTTTTGTCTGTCTGTAGGAGGAAAAAACCTTTCATTTAATAGATTTTTTTGGTGTGTGTATATGGATCGTATGTGGAAGTCATTTCTGAAGTGAAATAAGAGAGATGCCCAGTAGCTAGTTGTAAATACAGATTTTTGTCTTAATAGAAGTTGAATAAGTAAATGAGAGACCTATTTTCATTTTCAAAGTAATTCTCATATGTAGTCCATATACTTATATTAAAACTGCCTTCTAGGAGTACTCAGAGATACACAGTACTCCGTAAAAGCCCTGGAAGGCTTGCATTTTTGAGTGTTACTTGTTCATCAATAGAGATGGTACCTTGTATAAATTTAAGCTGTCAAGTGTAGTGCTTTCCCATGTCGGGCTCCCTCCTCGCAGGGAACTGCTTCTCCCTCTCCTCCCTGCTCTGCTCTCTCTCACTATCTGTCTGTCTCTCAAATAAACAAATAAAATCTTAAAAAAAAAAAAAAAAAGCTTCAAATTATAGTGGGACTAGATAACCAATTAAACAAGGGCAAAGGAGGATATAAATAAAGTTTACAATCTTTATATTAAACATTTTAAATTGGGACTTTTTGTTCATTTGGACTACTTGAGATTTTTATTTTATGGAGGTGAAACTATGAAATTATGAATATAAAATATAATTCCAGTCATAGCATACTCTGTATCTGCTGAATTTGTTTCTGAGATTTTATTGAAGTTGAAATAAGTTATTAACTTAATGTTGTACTTCTTTTTAAGAGAGAATACTCCCTTTTGAGAAATCAAAATGTTCATGCCAAACATTTAATTGATGATTTTATTCTCAGGTCCTTTTGCTAACTTGTGAATGCAATTTGGTTTGGATTTTTTTTTTTTTTTAATGTTTGCTTTTTAATGCAGAATTGAATTTACTAAAGATGCAATTTAGACTTCTAAAGTTTTTAACTAGAAATTATTTTCTTTTGCTAGGAGGCAGGTGGAAGTCATCATAAAGTTTCTGTTTCACCTGTTGTCCATGTTCGAGGACTCTGTGAATCTGTGGTGGAAGCAGACCTTGTGGAGGCTCTGGAGAAATTTGGGACAATATGGTAAGGCTCATAGGGACTTCATGCAGATTGAGAACAGTATGGTAAAAGCCTTGATGTTTAACCATAGTATATATTGCTTGCCTGTGACTATTTCTTTAGAACCTCTGTATTTCTTTTAAGCCTCTTATTTTTAACCTTCTGGGATGATGCATGGATGTATTTTTTGGATCCATGATCACCTCACACTCCTCAGCCAGGTTTTATGTAAAATAGATTATGTCATCTTTCATCTGATTTTCAAATGAGTCCATGATTCCTTGTTAAGCACTGTTTTAATGTTTGAATGAGTTGATAACACCCTTCGTCTTCAGAGTTTTAAGTAGTGGTACTTAAAAACTGATTTTTTGTTGTTTATTTTGGAATATTTAAGAATTAATAGGCAAATAACAGTGGGTAGATTAAGGATAGGCATTATTTGCTTAGGTGTGTGTTGCTGAGTTCTTATGCAGACGATGAGCAGTCAGTGTTTTATCCTAGTTTGTTTTATTTTTGTGTTTAGTATTCACTCAGGCTCCTCCTTTCTCTTCCCACAGCTGGTGTATGCTTAAGGATATTGACTTAAGTGAAAACATAATCAGAAAAGTGAATCTGCTGCCAAAAATAGACACTCAAAAATTCTTTCTAAATTATTTTTGGAGTATGCCCGGCTGTTGTTCTCTTCTTAGTATGGGTAGCCTGGAGTTGATTTTATTATTTTTTCCTTGGTGAATACGTTTGGGGTTTTGGTTATAGGCATCAGAGACACAGACTAACTCAAAATATAGAAACAGCAGAGAAATTTCAGTATATTTGCTGAGATTGATTGTTTCAATCTTACAAAAATTTATGTGGGGTTCTGAGTTTTGAAAGGATGCATAACTAGATGGTGAGGGAGTAATCAGAGATGTCTGGCAGGAATCGTTGCTTCAAAGGAGTAGTAGTGTTAGGTAACACCTTCCATCATGGCATCTTTTTTCTTTTTTTAATTTTATTTTATTTTCCTTGATGACCTTATTGAGAGGTGGATGACTTGGGACACCTGTTATCCTCAGCTTATGTACCTCAGAAACCACAGTTACATATTGTTATTGGCAATCTACACGGGCAGGAGAAAGTCCATTTCTTAAAGTGTCATTAAGATGACTGTATCACTTCTTGTCATTTCAAGTGGATATTGGAAATGAAGTTTGTCTGGAGCTTTATATATTGAAGCAGACCCTTAGACCTTATTTAGACTTGACATGTTGGCACTAGACTAACTCTATGGGTTGCATTATCCCATGGAGTTAGAAAGAGATGGTTATTTCTGGCTTATTTTTTCTTCTGTTTTTTTATATTGGGCTTTTAAAGTTATTTCCTTAAAGTGAAGAAATACTGAAGCAATATTAGAAAACAAGTTGATGAGCAAATACTGGTGGAAACTTTAGAGAAATAATAACTGTGTTGATATTTTGATGTTAATTATGACCATGACCCAGATGTGGGGCAGTAAAGAAATAGGACTATTTGTTGAAGTTGGTGAGTTATTTGAATCACTTTTGAGTGGCTGTACATTTTTAGCCTGTATACTTTTTGATATACAGGTAGATATATGGTAGAGTGTTTTATATATGAATGTAATTCATAATTTGCATAGTACATCATTCTACCCCCAGGATTGGTAGTTTTGTGGATGAAAAAGTCATGAAATAGGGGCTCCTGGGTGGCTCAGTCATTCAGCGTCTGCCTTCAGCTCAGGTCATGATCCCAGGATCCTGGGATCGAGCCCCCACATCGGGCTCCCCACTCAGCAGGAAGCCTGCTTCTCCCTCTCCCACTCCCCCTGCTTGTGTTCCGTTCCCTCTCTCACTGTGTCTCTCTCTGTCAAGTAAATAAAATCTTAAAAAAAAAAAGTCATGAAATAATTGGAACAAATTAGTGTATAATTAAAAGTTTAATTGGCATAAATATGTGGAATAGGAGTTTTAATTGTATGAAATGCTCTTGAATAAGAGGTGGCTACTGTTGAAGCTGAAAGAACCTTGAATAGCCTCCAAAGAGGAGTTTTGCTTCAAAATATTGCATGTATAGAACCTTTCTCTGTTTATTTCTTTAGTGGTGTGTGTGGGATTATAAAGATTATATAGAAACTGCTCATATTAAAAAGATGTGTCGCTAAGTTCAACATACAGTAAGTTTATACCTAAAAACTAAATGCGTAGGATAGAATACAATGTTGAGAATGGTTGTGTCAGTATAATAAAATTCTATATATTTTTTGTCTTTATTCTGTAATGTATTCATGTATTAGGATCAAAAGAATGTTTAAAAATTCATACTGAGTCTCTCTTCCTCCCTTTTCCCCTTCCATTAAAGGAGAGGATGCGACGTATAATTAGCTGTATTGGTTTAAAATTTTAAAACAAAACTTTTGGGGCCTAATTTGTATAATAAATCTTTTGCCGCCTCCTGTTTTCATTTAAAAATTAGTAAATGTGTTTCGAGTTACAAGTTGAAAGCACTGTGACCTTACCATGTCCCTTAGCCCTTTTGTTAATTTTTTTCTTTTCTTTGGTCTTCCCGTCTTCCTCAATACTAGTGCTTTTAAAGATTTCTTGTAAATTATGTGCCAGACAGTTTAGGTGCATTCTAAAATGTTTGTGACATTCTAGTTTCCCCTTCTTTATCTTCATGTAATGGCACTTCTTAACTTTTAAGTCTGTGCTTCTAGCTCACTTACTGTAGTTATAGAAGGCAGTTTTACTATGACCATGTCTATAATAGGCAAATAAAGAATTTATTTTTGAACCTTTATAATTTTCTGTGTGCCAAAGAATCAGAGGGCATTATTAACGTATTTACTTGGTAATACCATTTAGCTATTCAACCAACTTATATTTTTGTGAGAGGGGAATGTTTATTCTTCTTTCATTTCTTTAGCGTAGTCCTGATCCCAGGGTTTTCTAATTTTTGTATGCAAGACTTCAGAACTTTAGCAAGAAATTTCTAAAAGGAATGTTTTTCTCTCCTGGGATTTATATTTTGCATTCATAATTGGTAAATCTTTAATTCAAGGTCTTTTGTTTCTGTATTCTTTAATTTTGAACGATGTGGGTGGGGAGAGCTAACAAGCCTCATAGACCAACAAATATTGATTGAATGCCTGTTATGCATCAGCTCTGTTTCTAGATTCTGAGGATATGAAGATGAATGAGGCAAGGCAAGCAGTTTGTATGTAGTAACATAATCTTGACAACAGGATTGTCAAGTTGAAACTCTTTCAAGTTTTATAAATGAGGAAGCTGAAATTCATAAGAAATTATGTAACTTGCCAGGTTACAAAGTGGTCTGTTACTTATTAATAAGCCATTTGCCACTTTCTAAAGGGTAGCAGTAGGTCTGGATGCTTATTGAGAAACAGTGCTTTCACTGAGTACCTGATCTGATGTTTTTTTCTGCAGCCTTCTACTGTTATAAAACCATGATAATTGTTTTTTTAAAACATTTTTAAGGTGCTTGTTCTTGTGAACAGAGGACATGTTGTTTCCCCTGGTATGATCCATGTGCTTTGACTTCTTTCTTCCCTTCCTCCCTTCATTGCTTTATTTTTCATTTCATATACTAAAATATGTTCCTCCAGTGAGATGTGAATAACTTCACCCTCTTGCTCATAGGCAACCATGATTACTATAATCTAGTGAATATCTTTTCGTAGATTCTTTAATATTTAAAAATATTTTGGAGGAGATTATTTGTATGAAATTTGGTTGGTTTGGAGTTGCTTCTATGTATCTTTTGATTCTCTAGTTTTTAGTAAGATAAATGAAAGTATATAGTCAGTTCTTAGTTATTAGCGTGGGCACTTATTTATTTGGAAAATTTAATAGAGGTAGTAGTTTCTGTTGTTTAGGGGTCCTATCTGCTAATCTTCTCTTGAGTTTTATTTCCATTGGTTTCTATATCTAGATATTTTCTAATACTGCTTGGGAGTGGCAGCCTGAAGAATAAATGGGGCGGTGTCATTAGTAACTGGTAACAGAGACTTATGCTTGAGGAGGGCAAAAAGTGGAAAACCTTTCGGTCACAGGAAGATAAGCTTTCAAATATGCATCATCTATCTGGTGTACCACAATTTATTTGGATGATTTAAGAATTGACTAACACTGGATAAATGTAGTGAAGGATACTAATCTGTGTGATTTGACACATTTTTATTAAAGTCTGCTTTTCCTTGATTGAGAATAAATAATGTTAACTGAATTTATTATATTTGGGTATTCTTTCCAATCTCCCTTTCAGCTATGTTATGATGATGCCGTTTAAACGGCAGGCTCTAGTGGAATTTGAAAACATAGATAGTGCCAAAGAATGTGTGACGTTTGCTGCGGATGAACCTGTGTACATTGCTGGTCAACAGGCTTTTTTCAACTATTCTACAAGCAAAAGGATCACTCGACCAGGAAATACTGATGATCCATCAGGAGGCAACAAAGTTCTTCTGCTATCAATTCAGAATCCTCTCTATCCAATTACAGTGGTATGCATTTTAGTATAATAAACTAAATTAAAAGTGATTTTGAAAATTGCCTCTAGAGTGACTAACCTGTAGTTTTCTTCACTGCCATCTAGATATTTAAAAACAGTGTTTTTTAAAAGAATTTTTAACATGAATCTTAATTTTGACTATCATGTTTAATGAACAAAGAAATGGTGAGCACTGAAGCTAAAAAGGTCAGAAGTGCAGTTGTCACAAATAAGCACTTTTAAAAATTTGTATTATTTAGCATCAATATTAACTGTTTCTGATAAGGAATTAGACAGACTTGTTAGAAATAATCCAAGAAATTTCTCTCACTTGCATGCCAGCACGTGTTAAGAGCATCTACTAGGTAAGGACAGAATCCCAAAGATGTATATATTATAAGTGGTTTTGAGATAACTTATTAAAAACCTGTCTGATTTACTTAAAATTTCCTGTTTCGCCCTTTAAAAAAGTGATATTAGCAGAATTTTTACAAAGGATTCATGTCCTGAACCAGTTAAGTTTTCTACTTCATAATGAGATGCTGTTTCATAATAAGCCAGTGACAAGGACACTTTATTTTTGTGATGAATAGTATATCACAGTAAGGGAAGCTTCAATTAGTATGATTTCAAGTAAGGATATATGATATTGGGACATAAAAGAAAGCATAAGATACTATTTAAATTAGATATTTACCTCTGTAATACTTCTAGACTTATTAATAAGCAGTATTAATTAGTATTAATTACAGTATTTGATGTTTGGGGAGAAAGAATGTACCTAATCTAGTACAAGTATTCTGATTTGTTTATGGTTGTATCCCTAGAACCTAATGGTGCCACTGTGTTAATTGTAGGTGCTCAAGAAATTTCTTGATAGTTGAAGAATTGTTCTTAAGTAGGTATTTAAGTTCTCTCTTATTTAATTCAGAGATCTTGTTTGCTGACATCTAACATTGTATAAATGATCTTCCCAGAATCTTTTCTCTATATAGTCATTGTCCCTTGAAAAATGAATACCAAGTTGATCTGTTACTACTTCTTAATAAACATTTATTACTATAATTCAAGGGATTATAAAACAATCTGGAGTCACATTTGGAAAACAAAACAAATTAATTGATTATAGTTTCGGTTTACTTATTGTGTATTGTCAGACATTATTTTAGGTACCTTTTAAAATAAGAATCAAGGATTTATTTAGGAGATAAAATAGGTAGCAGTCCTTTTGAAATGTTTCATTTTAACTTCTCTAATGTTGGATATACTGTATGGGTGAGGAAATAACTTTAGAAGTGTAACAGTTTTTAAAAGTTTAATTAGTAAAAGTTTAATTAGTAATGAATAGAAATGATGTCTTGAGGTTTTGTTTTTTTTTTTTAAGTTGAAAAAAGCGGGGTGTAATTTTCTTGTTTTTCCAAATATAAAATGTGAAGAAATCTTGTTTTCTTTCCTTCATAGGATGTTTTATACACTGTATGCAACCCTGTTGGAAAAGTACAACGTATTGTTATATTCAAGAGAAATGGGATACAGGCAATGGTTGAATATCCTTTACTTATAAATTTTTTTTATTGATGTATAAGATTTCTGTGTAATATGGTCTTATTTTTTCCTGCTTACTCATATCCTGACAAGTGGTATTTATTCTCAGTTCTTCCCCAAAGATCTACTTGTTTTAGATTTAAAAAATGAAACTGCAGTACCCACAGATAAGAATAACTTGCTACTACCTAAGAACATTCCCGTACTTCATCTCACAGTATGCTTTGTCTTTTTAATGGGGAAAAAATAACATTATTTGATAATATGTACATTTATACCTTTTTATTTTATTTTATTTTTTAAAAATTTTCTTACTATGTTCAGTTAGCCAACATATAGTACATCATTAGTTTTTGATGTAGTGTTCAGCGATTCATTAGTTGCATATAACACCCAGTGCTCATTTGTACCTTTTTAAAATGTATCCCAAATGGACTATTCTGACTCTGTCCTTAAAATAGGTAGTTTGGAAGTACTAAAACTTTATAGAGTCAGTAATACAAAACTCTTCTTCCCTTTTTTGGTTGAATTTTTCAAATGGTCATGGTTTATGTAAAAACTTTTTTGTTAAATTTAATTGTTGAGTAAAAAGAGCAAGTTGCAAAATAGTATATATTGTATAATCCCATGTAAAGATATAACTATCCCCCAACCTTGTGTGTACATGTGTATGCATAAAAAAGGTGGGGGCTATACAGCAAACTCTTAATAGTGCTGACTTCAAGCAAGGTGTTTTTGTCCCTTTTTTTTTTTTTTTTAACCACTTTGGTGGTTTGATTTTTTTAAACAACTGTAGACCCAAGTAATTTTTTAAAACCAATAAAATGAAGATAGTTAAATGATTATAAAACTCTGCCTTCTCAGAAATATATAAAAATCAAATATTTGTTTTATATAGTTTTGGTTTTTTGTGACATTTTTCCTCCTTTAAGAGTAAAATATTTCTTGTTTCAAGATAGCAGACTGTCGTTTACCAGGGAATGGGACCATGCTCCATTTCCCCTCTTCTTTTCAATTTATAAAGTACTTTTGATTATTTAGAAGGATTAATGTAGATAGTTTGGTTTATTATGTTTTCTTTGGTACCCTGGATCTTAAAAATGAATTTGCCTAAAATTCATCTAGAAATTTTATTGGTAAAACATTTCTAGAAGGGAGAATTATGTTTATTTTCAGTCCTTTTCTTAGGCAGTGAATAATGATTAAATATTAGACACCTTAAACCAAATTTCCTTAATAGAGCTTATGTTTGAATCAGTCCTTTGTGCCCAGAAAGCTAAAGCAGCACTCAATGGAGCAGATATATATGCTGGATGTTGCACACTAAAAATCGAATATGCAAGGGTAAATATTTTTTCAACACTTTGCCAAAGAAATATTTATGCTTTGGATATATAATTTGAGCTTACTTTCTTTTTAATCTTAACAGCCAACTCGTCTAAATGTTATTAGGAATGACAATGACAGTTGGGACTACACTAAACCGTATTTGGGAAGACGAGGTAAGTATTTTATGCATTTTAGAATGTACTTAAATCTGCTGACAAATTTTTACATACAGTTAGATTCCTTTTTCCGGAGGTGAGCTAGTTCATTCAAAAGAAAACCTTGTTGGTGAATGCTTTTGTTGCAAAAGGCCATGTAATGCTGGAAAATAACCTTGAAATTAGTGCCCCCTACTGGTATGTACTGAGTTATTTATATTTAGTTCAACAAGGAGCCCACACATACAGGCACGCCCGCAGTTCAAGGACTTGCATTTCTCCAAGCAGCTCTCTCTCTTTGGAGGAGAGGAAACTGATTCAGAATATTCCTTACAAACTGCAAACTTGCACACTGCTTCTCTATGGAAAGGACTTTTCCCCCAAGCTGGACGAGGCATTAAGAAGGATAGAGGACTCCAGCAGGCTGACTCTACACTTCATCATGCACAACATCGGCATCAGCAAAAAGCCCTCTGAAAAACTCAGACTTGCAATTCACCTTGACTGCATACTGCATGCACCATCACCCCAAGTTTTTAAAGGAGGACACTTAACAGTACTTCAGACTTGCATGGGATGAACACCATGATAGACTGTGCCCATTTATTCAAGTTGTATGTGTTAATATTGGTCTGATTTCCCTTAAGGTTTCAGTTGTAGAATTTAAGACTTTTCACTAACGGGTACTAGACTTTATTTACAATGTTGTAAATCTTAATGCCCATTAATGTAACTGTTTTCAGCTTAGATTTAAATTGTTAACTGGCAAATAACCAGGGCCAATTTATCTATAGGTCTTGAGAACTGCTAATGCTCAACCAATCCACACAGATATTAAAGATAAGAGGATTAGAAAGGTGCACATTTGCTGCACTTAAATTTACTCTCTTGGGGTTTTTTCCCTTAACTGTGGACATCGAACAGATTAACGTAATGATGAAAAGTTGCATTATATGTAAAAGATGGTTTCTGTGTGGTTTGATTTTTTGTAAAGTGGCTGTTTATAAGTTGTTACTTTTTGTAACGATTTAAGGTTATCACTCATGTTAATTTGTGTAACTAGAAATTTCGACATTTCAAATGTAGGTGAAAGTAACATGTCTGTTCAAGGTAGACTATATTTAAACTTGATAAATCTTAAAATAAGAGCATTTCATTTGAGATGCATTTTCACCTATAACTTATAAATGCTAGATTTCATGAGCATAGATTTGACTGATAAAATTGTTCAACTAACTGTGTGGCAATTCTGGAATATACAAATTAAAATGTGGATCTTGTAAAAACAAGGGGGCTGCAGTATTGGCTACACCTCAACTACAATATCAGTGTTTGAACCACATGTTGAAAAAACTCACCAAGATGAGCATATCTGTAAAAGTCCATAAAGTAGGAAAAATTTTTATGGCATCCAAAATATCTTGGGCAGTAGGGACTCAGTAGTGCATGTACTCTTGCCAAAAGAGAAAATGAAGGACAATGTGATGATCCTTTGCATGTTCCAGTATTTAGAACTTTGGCTGATTGGCCCCTTTAATTCTCAATTCTTAGGAAATCATCTTGCCTTATGCATGGGGTTGCAGAGGTTTGTATTGTGATGCAGCTTTGGCTGGACCCCACATTTTTCCCTATTTACAAATCTGTTTGGCATAGGCTTGGTACAGTTGAATACAGTATTGGAAAACAAAGCCTTAGTACTCAAACAACAGAACAAGTGGTTGATGAGAAATCTCTCACTTCTGTCAAATTACAGTCTGTTATTGAATACTTTTTTTTTTTTTAACTCATTTGAAACAGTGAGTTTTGGTTACATTTCTCTTAATGTCTCTCTCTTTTTTTTTTTCTCTCTTAATGTCTCTTAAAACATTTGTAGATGTGCTTCTTATTTTAATAGTGTTTACATCTGTTCTTTTAGGTCTAAAGTTTCCACAGAGCCAGCTTAGATTAGTTTTTCATACAAAGAATTACAATCAGAAAAGGTTAGAAACGTGTGAGGTAGATATTTAAATAGTGAAATATAAAGAAGTAGTAAAGCAGAAGTTTAGTTGGTTTTCAAGGGAAAAACATTCTTGCTTTCTAATTCCTGATACTTGTCTGGCAAGACTAGCAGTTTCTGTTCTTGTTTTTGTAGTGACTTCATCTTCCACTCAAGTTGATACTGAATTGTAACTTTTTCTACCAAAAAGAACTCTGTAATAAATATAACCTCATTTTTTAAAGTCCCTTTTCAGCCCAAATTACATTTTAGTGCAAAAAGTTCTTAACCTGGACTCCAGAGAATCATTCCAGAAATGTTAAACAAAAACTTGTGTATGTGTGCATCTTTTTGGGGAGAAGGTGTACAGTTTCCATCAGATTTCAGATGAATTCATGAAAAGTCACAAACCACTATTTGTAGACTGATGTGATCAGTATTTGACTCTTCGGCACACTTCTGTTTTATGTGACCTTTTATTAGGTAGTGAATGCTTCGAATGAAGAGAATTATTAATAATGAGAATGTTTGGCTGAAAGATACCTTGGGAGACCATCCACTCTAACTCCTTCATTTTATGAATGAAGATTGTGAGTTTCTGTGATTATACAGTGAATTAGTGGTTAAATTGGAATCTTCTGAGTCTAGTGCGCTTTCCTTTATATAGCACACTCTTAACTGTATCAATAAAACTGAGCCATGAAGACATTATGGTGGTTTTGGTTAAGATTCCTTAGATCAGATAAGGAATTGCATGTAGTGTTTGGTGGCATGCTTAAGTAGAAGAATATTAACAGAAGGGATTAGCAGACTGGATTAATTCAGGAGGAGTGGGACTTAAATTATGATGCTGGAACCCATGTAATGGAAAGAAGGAACTGTGAATGACTGGAGAAGAAATGACTTTGGGGAAATGGAGGGAGGATCTTGATAAATTGGAAGCATTTGAGAGTATTTTTGGAGAAAGACGAAGTCTGTGAGGCCCAAATGGGATAGAATATGGGTAAAGAACCAATTTCTATACAATATAAAAATTATCTCATTATTTAGGACCAACTGAAAATGTAAGGGAAAGTAGTGAGTACCTTGTTATTGGTGTTGGGTAAGCAGAGGGCTAGATAGTTCCAATTGATAGAGATGGTGTAAAGAGAATTTATACACTGAATAAAAGTTGAATAAGATGACCTCTTAGGTCCCTTTTATAATGCTATGATAACTTGGAATAGGTACTTAAAATGATACTTCTCTAGGCTGAAGTGAAAATTATTTCTCATCTCCCATAAACCTCATTTGTTTAGGTGACTAAGGATTTATAGAAAGCCTTTCTATGAATTTTCAAAGATTAGAATGACCAGACTCATAAGCTACATTAAAAAAAAAAATCTTATTTGGTACTATAATTTGATCAGCAAACTTTCTAAAAGTATTGTACAGTAATTTCTAAAATTTACCAACCAAAATAGGAAGTGCTATTTTAGAAACTTACAAGTAATTTTTTTTTTGATGTCTCAAATTAAATTTAGGAAAATTGGCATGCCTTTCCTGAAAACGTAGCTAGAATAAAAATTATTTTTTAGGAGTATTGTAGTACTCTCATCCAATAATGTAGCCCCCTTGGTTAGCTTTATCTTGGCATATTTAAACTTTGGGGGGGTGCTCATAGTCCTGCCTGGTGTTAAGGTCTATAGACAATGACCAATCCATGATATAATATGGGCCAGTGATGTGCAAATTTCCAGCTCTCAAGTCAGTAGGTGTTTGTAAATATGTGTATATACATACAAAATACTCTGTGTTTACTGATTGTGAAACCATGTAATACAGGTTGTTGTTGGCTTATGCTGAACTTCTTGAAAGAAGCCCACTTTGAAAATGTGTTGCTGTTGAAGCTAATAGTATGATTCAGGTACTGTCTTTCAAAAGTACTGCACTTAAAGCTTGTTTTAAAGACATGTATTGGTAAAAACTTCTGTACAGTGTCAAACTCTAGCATTGTGTATGTTCACTTTCTGAAAAGTATCCATTCTTTCCTTAAATTTGAAAGTGTGATTGTATTTGGCATTTGCCAAAAAGATATTTCAAGTTAAGTGGAATTTGTTAGATAGAATTACTTCCTTAAACTCTTGGTGTTTGTATTTAAATTGGATATGAATGGATGTTTAAAGTTAACCAGGAATCATATTTCTTTTATGAATTGTAATGGATGTTTTGAATGGGTGTTTCCCATGTGAGTACTCTGTTAAGTACTTGGGTCAAAATTGTTAAAACCATGTTTCTACTTTTGTGTCAGATAGAGGAAAGGGTCGCCAGAGACAAGCCATTTTGGGAGAACACCCTTCTTCGTTTAGACATGATGGCTATGGTAAGTTTGTCAAGGCAGAAGGAAGGTAGTATAGATGAACTATTAGAATTTTTGCATTTCTGATGAAGAATGGCACATTTCTTGTCTCTATTTTTCCTGCTCACCTGACTTGGCTTATAGGGGATCAGTCCCTTATAATGTACTCCCAAGGAGTTGTCCAAAATCCTTTGTTTTCTTAGGATATTGATATATCATATAATCCTTGAGATGAATGAGAGCTATTGGTTGGGGATTGAAAGCTTTTTTACCATTTTGGTTTGGTTTGGTTTGGTTTTGATTAGTAATGGGCTCTGGTCTATTAGAGGACCAAAGGGAAATACTATTGGTTAGTAAGTATATTTTCTTCCATTCTAGCAATTATGAACAAAGAGGAACTTTGAGTAATAAAGGCAAAAAGAATGGGGCATTTGTCAAAAAGAAACATGTTTCTGGTTAGAGCCTAATTTTTTAGTTCTACAGTTGGTATTTTGGCTTTGGCAAAATTTGTTTGTATTTAATTCCTCTTTTAAAACTTCTCAGTTTTAATGTTTGCTGTCTTGGTAAGATTAAGATCATGAAACCTAGAATATTCTTCCCCAGGAAAAAGTTAGGTATCAGACTATTGTCCTTGTAGGGGTAGATGTTGAGAATTGCTATTGATAAGACTTTTAACTGGTTATAAGTTCTGTGTTTTTTAATCTTTTTTAGTTTTTAGTAGTAGTTATTGGCCCCACCTATTCTGTGGTTTAAAGCTGAAGTACAATGCTATTTGAAGTGGTAGAAGATAGAAATTGCTATATTGTACTCTCGGGATTTATCTTCGAAAATCTCCCTGTGTTGCCTCTTTTCAAATTGCCTACCTGTTTGAAGACTCTCTTTAGCCGTGAGTTTTAGCTTATTCCTTAGTGTCGTTTTTTGAACTCTGGGATTTAGTACCTCTGTGTGTGTGTGTGTGTGTGTGTGTCTATTTGTTCAGGTTGCTATGGTAGTCTATATGGCAGAAGTGATTGAAACAATCTCTTTTTTTTGTCAAAACAGTAAGTGTGGTATAGAATGAAAATCTTCCTACTGTTGTTTTAGTGAGTTCCTTGATCATTTTTCTTAGCTGTTTCTTTAACAGCATAAATATTAAATCTGGTCATATGGATAGTTCTCCTGCAGTAAAGAAACACTTATTAAGAGCCTCCTGTGCTTTCCATAATGGAAGGTTACAAAGAGTTGCTAACCACAAGTTTGTAGTGTAGTTGTGGAGTATATGTGTCATGGCAGTCAGCGGAAGGCTAAAAACTGTTTAAATATTTTGCCAAAGGGGTCTAGAAAAATCTGTGAAAGAATAAATGAAGGACAAACAACCTTACTGTGGTAGTGTTGACACAGACTATTTTCTCAGTATGGGTTTTCAGGTTTGCCTTTCTTTATAAAATATATCTTACTGAAAAATTGTATAAATAAAAATATATGCATGCCGAGAAGAACTTTGTATTTTTAAAAAGCCTATTGTGAAATTCTTTGTCAGTTTCATACTCTAATTGATTTTGCATGTTTGTGTGTGTGTACATTTTAATGTAAGCTTACTTAAAGAGAGGTGCAAAATTCTTTGCATTGGCAGTTAAATAGGGTCCTGCTGAGGAGGAATGGTTGTGGTGGGGTTGTGTAGGGGCATCCATTCTGAGCTATGTCTATTGAAACAGTTAACTCTCTGAGGATAACTTGTTCTGCTTTCCTAGGGGAGTATAGGAGGAGAGAGAGATAAATAAAAAGAGGTGGAGAAGAGAAGTAAGGTGAGGAAATCAGGGGGAAAGCGAAGAAGATGGGGAGTAGGTGCTAGTGATATATTGAGCCTTTTTAAAAACTGTAAAGCGTAGCTGTATCCCTTCAGATCAGCAATTCAGCAAAACAGGTGTTTTTGCATTTTGGTGTCGTATCATGGGTGGCTTTTCCTTTATGATGGTATATGAGAATGAGGGAATAGAAAAGCCTTAATTATTTAATTAAATTTATTCATTGGTTTATTACAGCAGTATAAATCTGTGCTTTCAGAATTCTTTAAATCTTTTACTTTGGGAAGCCCTGTCCGATGAGGGGAGGTGGTAGATGTCCTTATACTTGAAAAATATTATTTTTACCACTTTTATACAGATTTATTTTCTGTGGGTCTAAGAAAAGTTTGTATATTAATTGCAAGCATCTTTGGATATGGCTCCTGGACCAAAGATTTTAAAGTACAAGGATGAGAAATGCCTTCCAAATGATAATAATGCCATTTATGTAGCATTTTCCCACATAAGTGAATTTTTTTAATACCTGAAGTACTAGCTTTTTATGCATCAAAACATTTTGTATGAACTTTTTTATGTATAGAAACCTTTAAAAAGATTTTCTATTTTCTTAAACAATATAGGCAACAATTTAAATAGTGTAGATAACGTAATTTAATCCTGATCAGTTATATTCTCTTGCACTGAATTCAGTTGTTACCTATGGCAGTGGATCTCAACATTTTTGGCCAACTTCAGTAGAGTGGAAGTTTTCACTGCCCATGCACCACACATCTTTCTACTTTCTATGAAAAAGAAAATTTAGTGGTAATAGTGAAGTGTCATTACTGTACAAGCAAATGGTGGTAGTGGAGGGACGGTATAGTAGGGATATGTACTTTTGCAATAGGGATAAGAATGATTGATATTTGACCCCAGCGTATATATAAAGTTTAAATTGGAGGCCAAAACATGTGTTGTTACTAACAAGTAACTCACCATGAGCTATATTGTTTGTTTTGATAAACTAATTATCAGCGAGAAGGGCAGTTGAAAACCATTCCAATTTAAGGCAACACTGACGATGCATTGATGAAGTGTTTCTTCCTCCATGAAATTGTAGGAATTCACACTGTGTGTGTGCTCAGTGGTAGTATTGCTGTGTTGTTATGAATGGCAGCTATATTTAGAATACTAAATACTGAGTTGGAGTCCACATGAGCTCTGATAGCATGCTATGAATACCAAAATGTAGTTCTTAGTACCTTACTTAGTAGATGACAAGTATCCCTTAAATAAAAATGAGAGTCAGTAGCATTACATATTCTTTACTTCTTGAGAAATGAGGAAAAGACTTGGGTTTTTGGATTGGTTTCTTGCACATCAGGAGGACCTTTGCATGTTATAAGAGTATACGTCTGTAATCACTAACTCAGGAGCACCTAACATGTATGGGTTTATATTTCTGAGCTATGCCTCCATTTTAGTTGCTGCTGCTTTTTTTTAAATTGAAGTATAGCTGACATACAATGTTATATTAGTTTCAGGTATACAGCATAGCGATTGGATGATTCTATACATTGTGCAGTGCTCACCATGATAAGTGTAGTACCATACAACGTCATTACAATATTATTGACCATATTCCCTCCACAGTACTTTTCATCCCAGAGACTTATTTTTTAGTAACTGGGAGTTGGTACTTGATCCCCTTCACCTATTTCACCGCCTCTCGTCTACCCTCCGGCAACCACCAGTTTATGAGTCAGTTTCTTAGTTGCTTCTCAGTTCTTACGACTCTCTCTTCTTGCTCTTGTGAATGTGCCCTCTGCCTGCTTTTAGTATCAGTTTCTCCAGACTCCCCCATTCCTGTCTGTTCCATTCACTTTAGCTTTATTTTTCTTGTTACTTCCAATCTGTTATGGATGGGAAAACTGGATAAATCAAAGTTGTTTAGAACTACTCTAAAATTAGAAAGTTGATTCTTAATAAGGATTCTCAGCATGAGACATAGATTTGCGTGTGTTTTGTGACAACGGTTTCAGATATTCAGGCATTATTCTGGGTTCTTGATGTTGTTTCAGATAATGCGGGATGCTGAATAAATGACACCTTTGAGTAGGTGAGATATTAATGAAATTAGGAGTTTTGTTTCCTAAATTAGAATTAGGGGAATAAAATACCAGAAAGCACGTTATGGTAAAATATATTCAAGGAGGTAGCTTTTCAGTGGAACTAGAGATGTTCTTTTTGTTATGTCTGTATAGAGATAGTTTCCAAGATTTCGCTCTATATCTTATTGTATTATCCTCCAAAAGGTGTTGGCAGAAGGTTTTTTAAAAAAAAAAATTAAGATACAATTTATACACAGCGACCCAAAGTTTTACACTGATTCTCCCCATCCCTGCTATCTGTGGCCTGATCTTATATACTTTTTTGTTAAACCGTATTTTTAAAAATACAAACTTAAAGCCTGATGTATATGCAGGGATGTGCAGATCAATGTATCTTAGATCTGGTACACAGAAATACAGATTTTATTAATCCCCACAGGTTATTTGAATATTAACACATTTATTTGAGTTTTCCTTGGACATACATCAAACTAGCTAATATTAATAGTTTACTTTTAATGTGGTGAAGAATATCTGCTAAAGTTGTGTTTTGTTTTGTTTATCATTTTTATAGGATCCCATGGTCCATTATTGCCTTTACCGAGTCGTTACAGAATGGGCTCTCGAGATACACCTGAGCTTGTTGCATATCCATTGCCACAGGCTTCTTCCTCTTACATGCATGGAGGAAATCCCTCTGGTTCAGTTGTAATGGTTAGTGGATTACATCAGCTAAAAATGAATTGTTCAAGAGTGTTCAACCTATTCTGCTTATATGGAAATATTGAAAAGGTAAGTTTCGTTTTATATTAATTTCTTCTGCTAGGATATCTAGTAGGAAAGTTTGAAAAGGCAACAAATACATGTGTCTTCCCCTTGTATTAGGAACATACAAGTTCTTTTAGTAGTAAACCACATAAGCTAAAAATTCATTAGGTAGGAGCTTTAGAAATTGTTTTTTGTTGGTAAGTGATCAGTATAGGTTGTTGGTACTAAAAATACTTTAAAAATAGCTAATATAAATAGAAGTCCAAAACAGTAGTTTAATTAATTACTAGCCTGTATTTTTTTTATCATTGCAAAGTGTTTCTAGCACTTAACATGTCGAACTATAGAATTCGAAAGAGGAGTACTTTCATGGTGCTTGGCCACAAGTCATGAATTTTAGGAGAGTTCTAGATTTAATTACTTGCCTCCCAAATGCTAGATTTCCAGTATCTTCTGAGGAACAATGTGCTTTTAGCTCTATCAGTATTTGAAACTGACAAAATGTGTTCAAAACTTTATCTGGAGGCTTACACTCAAAAAGTAGCAAAATATTTAAATTTTACATATTTTAAAGATCTTTAAAGCTATAACCTTATTTTCATTAGACAACCATTTCCCCAGATCTGTGCTGTTTTGTTCATTGATATCTCATAAATATTTAAAATAGTATCATAAAGTAGATACTTAAACTATTTTCTAAAGAATCATGGAAATTTTTTTTTTTTTTTTAAGATTTTATTTATTTATTTGAGACAGAGAGAATGAGAGAGAGAGCACATGAGAGGGGGGAGGGTCAGAGGGAGAAGCAGACTCCCTGCCGAGCAGGGAGCCCGATGCGGGACTCGAACCCCGGGACTCCAGGATCATGACCTGAGCCGAAGGCAGTCGCTTAACCAGCCGAGCCACCCAGGCGCCCCAAGAATCATGGAAATTTAACTGGGGAAATGATGGGTCATCTTAAGTTACCAATTGTTTGCTACACTTGCCAACTTGAGTTTCAGTACTGAGATAATGTTATTTTTCTCTGTTGTTTCAAGTGATTTTCGTGTTCTTTTCACAACAGCAAAAAGGTACAAGCATGTGAGTCATAAATGGGTGGGAGCGGGAGCATGGCTTCAAAGTTGGTGCTCTGAGTTCTTAGTTCATTCATTCTAAAGGAAAGGCCCCTTGAACTGAGAAAGCAACCCAGAAAATCGCTGGAACAAGAATTTTCTCAGCATAACCATTTGACCGCATTTAGAAAAGAAAAGAAAGAAAATCCCACATTGGTCTAGGGATAACATATGGGGTGTTTCTGCTTATATAACTTGCCAGGAATACATGGACAGATTTAGCAACACTGGGAGAAGGAGTTCAGATTTTTTCACACAGACATTTATCTTAGACACCTAGGTGTTAGTTAAGGTTTAGGAACTGCATGTTTGATAACTAAATGGCTTTAATGTGTATTTTAACCTTATCACATAATGTTACTTTTCTCTTCGTGCTTTTCACATTTGTAGACAATCAGATCAGTCAGTTAAATCAACATCTTTAGTATATCTTTGTCTTTTCTGTTATGAACTAATTGTCTCATGATTTAGAAACCTAAGTCATTTTGTCTAATAAACTTAAAAGTTTTCTGTGTGCTATTTGAACAATTCCAGTCTCACATGTCAAAAAAAATATTTTAAACAATCTATTATGATACATGAAACTTAGGCTATGCTAGTCCTTTAAAAGACCTATATACAGGTAAGTATGCCTCACCTTTTTTTTAGATTTACAAGTACAAGAGCTACATATTTAACATAAGATATTTATTTAGTCATTGTTAGATTTGTAGGATGTTATTGGATTAAATCAAGGTATAGAAATTTTGCCCACAAGAAGATAATTGATTTCGAGTAAAGCTGAAAAGTCCTGCTACAACTGAGTTTTGTTCAAGTACAGGTATAGTATAAAAATGCTGGAATAGCCCATTAAAATTGGTAGTTGCAAGGGTGGATATAAATGCTATGCTGCATTTGTTATGTAAATACCTTTGTAGTATTTTAAGGCTAACAAATAAATATTTCAAGGTGTCATGAATGTTCGTGGTACAGAATAGCTATTGAAGGACTTTCTAAGGGGTAGGGGGTAGGTACTATGCTGAATGATTATCATATATTAACCCATTTAACTCTTACTACTATAGTGTTACCTACTAAAATTAGAATAATATAAGAGGCTAAGTATGGCCTCTGCCCAAGATGCCATGAAGAATTGTGAAGTAGGCCTGTTTTTAAAACGGCCCCTACCTTGTACAAGCCTTCCTACCGGCCATGCTGTCTCAAGGCCGTCATGCATTATTTCTTACAGCATCTTGTTTATTGCTTTAACAGCATTCTGAGTAGTTGGGAATTATTTTTTACTTTTAAATTTCTGACCTACCTACCAGATATAAGTTTCAAGAAGACTGTGTCTATTACGTTTACCATTAATACCCAGTATCCAGCACAGTGTTTATCAAAACATTAGCCACCTAATAAATGTTTGTTGAATGAATAAATGTTGATGAACTGTACCAGGTATTATCACTGTCTCTGTTTTATAGGGAGATCTGTGGCTCAGAGAAGAAAATCACCCCAAATCACACAATAAGTAGCAGAGCCAGGGTGAGCCTGTGCTCTTCTTCATTGTGCTACACAATAGAATTATAGGCTTCCTTTTTAACTTTGTTGAATTTTGGTAAGAGTTACGAGTGTCTAACAGCACAGCAGAGTAAAGTCAAGATTCCAGGTGATCTTCTGTATTTGACCTCAACCACTTAAATCATACTCTCTTTCAGAAATTCCGTTATTATAGAAGGGAAATAAATAGTCACCTTTTTGGGATTTTGTATTTACAGGTAAAATTTATGAAGACCATTCCTGGTACAGCACTGGTAGAAATGGGTGATGAGTATGCTGTAGAAAGAGCTGTCACACACCTTAACAATGTCAAATTATTTGGGAAAAGACTTAATGTTTGGTAATTATCTTAAAAGTGGTACATTTTAAAAGTATTAAAAAAATCTTCATTTTTATTAGAGATACTAATTTCAATTTCAGAATATTTTAATGTAATTGAGAGCACATTTGAAACTAGCACCTATAATGTTATCATTTTAGACAAAGTATGTTAGGTTCATATAATTCAGGTTTTGCTCACCTATACCTAGTTTTTAGTGTTATGATTATAAAGCAGCATGTTAAAAATGGGCAAGTTTTGTATAAAGTTTCCTAAACTATAAGAGTGATAGATTATAACTTAAACTAAATTTAAGTATTCAAATAAATGTTTAAAATATTAAATAACTCAATCCCATTTAAATAGCTACATTTGTCTTATTTGTTAAAATTGATGCAGGCATAGATATTAACCTTTTGACACTGCCTACTTGTTGCTTTTTATCTAACAAGGTATCTTCTATACCTTTTTTCCTTCCCAACCTTTAGTGTGTCTAAACAACATTCAGTTGTTCCAAGTCAAATATTTGAGCTGGAGGATGGTACAAGTAGCTACAAAGATTTTGCAATGAGCAAAAATAATCGCTTTACAAGTGCTGGTCAAGCATCTAAGAATATAATCCAGCCACCTTCATGTGTGCTGCATTATTACAATGTTCCATTGTGTGTCACAGAGGAGACCTTCACGAAGGTAGGTGCTGAAATACAGCTGTGTAGAATGTTTCTGTTTCTTACTTTAAAATTTATAATATTTTAGCCTCATTTTAAAGTCTTGCTCTGTTCATCATCTGCTTTTGATATTATTAGTATTTTGTTATTTAGTTCACTCTTTGACCATTGTACTTTTCTGGCCTCCATTCTGCATTAGCCTTTTTAGTCTTTTGTTGGTTTGTGGCTCGGTCTTTTTGAGAGTCGGAATTAGAATGAGATACCTGACTTCTGCATTCAGAGAGTTCTTTTATTATGCCCTTAAATCTTGCCCATAACAGGGGGCACCTGGGTGGCTCAGTCGGTTAAGATCCTGGGATCGAGTCCCGCATTGGGCTCCCTGCTCAGCAGAGAGCCTGCTTCTCCCTCTCCCTTTGCCCCTCCCTCCCACTCGTGCTCATGTGTGCTCGCTCTCTCTCTCTCTCTCTCTCGTAAAAATAAATAAAAATCTTTAAAAAAAAAAAAAATCTTGCCCATAACAAAATTTTATATATCCCTGCCTTTTTGCCAAACTGTAGGAAATGCTTCAGAAAAGAATTGATTTTCTGGGAAAATTTCTGGGAACTCCACTCTGTCCTTTAGGTACTAGATAAATCCTAACAACTCTGAGAATACATATTTCAGTTATAAATCTGTGGTTTTATTGTACAGCACTAAATTATTTACATAGTTTATAGAATATCACTTTTTAAAGTTTATTTTCTCATAGAACTTACCAATCTAAAAATATGTTTGGGGGCGCCTGGGTGGCTCAGTCGTTAAGCGTCTGCCTTTGGCTCAGGTCATGGTCCCAGAGTCCTGGGATCAGGTCCTGCATTGGGCTCCCTGCTCAGCGGGAAGCCTATTTCTCCCTATCCCACTCCCCCTGCTTGTGTTCCCTCTCTCCCTGTCTCTCTCTCTATCAAAAAAAAACAAAAACAAAAAACATGTTTGATTTAATTCATTCATGCCAGACTTAAATGCTGCCATAAAGTTTATTTTCCTTTCTTCCAGAGAGAGAGTGAGAGCATGATGAGCACATGAGTGCACACAGGGGGGCGGGGAGGGGCAGAGGGAGAGGCACAGAGAGAATCTTAAGCAGGCTTCACGCTGGGGCCCAGTGCTCACGACCCTGAGATCATGACCTGAGCTGAAATCAAGAGTCGGACACTTAACCAACTGAGCCACACAGGTGCCCCCATAAAGTTTACTTTCTAAAAAAGTAAAAGGCGGGAATATTATTTTGGCCATATTTTTAATGGAGTTTCACATTTCTTTGACAGTTATGTAATGACCACGAAGTTCTTACATTCATCAAATATAAAGTGTTTGATGCAAAACGTAAGTGCACATGCCCTCTTTTTAAGTTTTCTGGTTAAACTGATGACAAGCACGTAACAACTGGATTTGTGTTTCTTTGTTTTGTTTTAGCTTCTGCCAAAACACTTTCTGGGCTATTAGAATGGGAGTGCAAAACTGATGCAGTAGAAGCCCTTACAGCACTTAATCACTACCAGATAAGAGTTCCAAGTAAGTAAAATTGTGTCATAATTATTCAGTAGGAGTTACTTTAGAAACATCGACAATAATTTTAAAATAACACTTACTGCTTTTGTTTTTTTTTTTAATAGAGAAGTATGAAGAAAAAAGTCCTACAAATCCCACAACCCACACAATCCTTGTATTAGTTACCTATTGCTGTGTAAGAGATTACCACATTTAGCATCTTAAAACAGCAAACTGAGGGTCAGTATTCTATGTACAGTTTAGCTGGGTGTTTCTAGCTTAGGGTCTCTTGAGGTTGCAGTCAAGCTGTTGTCTGGGTCTACAGTCATTTCAAGTCGTGATTGGAGATTGGGAAATCCATTTCCAAGCTCATTTATGTGGTGGTTTGCAAGTCCAGTGAATCTACATTGGCCCTTTCATCATGGTGGCTGGCTTCCTTCAGAGTGAGTGATCCAAGAGGGATGAGAGCAAAAGACTAAAACAGAAGCCACAGTGTCTCTTATAACCTAACATTGGAAGTGACATACTATCACTTATGCTGTATTCTTGTGGTCACACAGACCACCCGTGGTACAGTGTGGGAGGGGACTGTACAGAGCTGTGAATACCAGGAGGGTAGGGATCATTGGGGCCATCTTGGATGCTGGCTTCCACAGTCTCTGTTGATCTTTTTAGAAGAAAGCAATACATACATTTATGTGGTTAAAAAACTTAAAACAGCACATCAGGTACAAAATGAAAGTTAAAGCTTTCTACAACTTCTAACCAATTGTCTCCTTTTATTCCTCCTCCTCGGTGTATGTATATCTATATTTTTAAAAGTTATACAAAATGGTTCTTCTATACAACTCTTCAGTGCCTTGCTATTTTCACTTAATATGCCTTGGAACTATGTATCAGCACTTGCAAAGCTATTACTTTTTTTTTTTTTTTTTAAAGCATACGCAGAGTAGCTATTCATAGTAGAGATATACCACAGTTTGATTTACCCATTTCCCCACTAATGAATACAGTTTTTTTCCAATTTGTTTTTTCTATTACTATAATACAACATCCTTATCATTGCACTTTTTGTATTTGTAGGGCAATTTCCTAGTAGTGGAGAACGTAAAGGTTTATATTCTGATAAATGTTGCTAGATTGCCCTTTAAAAAGGTTGCACCAGTTTACATTTCTACCTGTGGTATGTGAGAATGCCTGTTTCCCAACACTCTTTACCAACACTGAGTCTTGTCAGATGTTGAATCTTTAACCAGTATGATAGATGAAAAATGGTATTCCATTGTTTTAATTTGTATTAAATGAAATTGTCACTGTTTATTCTCTCCAGAATGGTAAGCGACCTCTTTTTCTACCACACAAAGTATGCTCAAGTATTTAACTTTTGAAGCTTTGTGCTGTGTACTTTATTTTGATTCTGGATCTAAAGGGTGTTAAACCCTTATTTTTCTAAATAGTGGGAGAAAAAAATATTAATTTTATTAGGTGTGATGTGGAAAAAGAAAAATACACACTGACAGATTTATGGGTAGAATAAACTTATCTAGGATTTAGTTTAAAATATTCCAGCTCCCAAAATGTGTGTCGGGTAGGTAGATGAAATAAGACTGCCAAATGCTGACAATTATTGAAGCTAGGTGGTTTATCATATCAATCTATATATTTTTTTATGTTTAAAAATTTTAATTAAAAGATAAAAAATAAATAGGAATACTTCCTTTCATTTAACTTTTAGTCACAAAAGTAAATTTTTTTTTTTTAAAGATTTTATTTATTTATTTGAGAGAGAGAGTGAGAGAGAGAAAGAGCACAAGAGGGGGGAGCGGGAGAGGGAGAAGCAGACTCCCTGCCGAGCAGGGGCGGGACTCAATCCCGGGACTCCAGGATCATGACCTGAGCCGAAGGCAGTCGCTTAACCAACTGAGCCACCCAGGCTCCCACAAAAGTAAATTTTAAGTAGTAAATCAAGCCTAATATTTGTTAGAAGGTTTTTAAAGGCTTTAAAATTATATGCATATTTGAGACATACCCAAGATGTATTTTAAACTCCTTGGAGGCAGGAACAGTTATTTATCTTTTCATCCTCTCCAGTGCATGCAAATACTTGTTAATTTATATGCTTTTTCCTTTATAGGAATTAAAATTTTTTTTAATATGTTAAGATACCAGAATTGTTTCTTTGTATAATTAATTGAGGAGGAATTATCTCTGCCTGGTCTGAGAAGTTAAAGAAAAATGTATAAAATGGAAAAATTTTTGTGGCTTATTCTCTTGTTTTTTGTTGTTTTTTTTTTTTTTTGAGTAATTTTAGAATTTAATACTAGATCTCCTGGAACTTTTTCAGCTTATTAATATCTTCCTGTACATTCCATTCTTACCCATTTCCCAGCCTGTATTTGAATTTTTTTTTTTTAATTTAAATTCAATTAGCCAACATATAGAACATCATTAGTTTCAGATGTAGGGTTCAATAATTCATCAGTTGCGTATAATACCCAGTGCTCATCACATCACCCTATTACCCCATCCCCTCTACCCACCTCCCTTCCAGCAACCCTCAGTTTTCTTTCTTTTTTTTTTTTAAGATTTTTTTTTTTTTTTTTTATTCATGAGAGACAGAGTGAGAGAGAAAGGCAGAGAGAGAAGCAGGCTCCCAAGGAGCAGGGAGCCCGATGCGGGACTCGATCCCAGGACCCTGAGATCATGACCTGAGCCGAAGGCAGACGTTAACCATCTGAGCCACCCAGGCGCCCCCCTCAGTTTGTTTTTTAGAGTTAAGAGTCTCTCAGGGTTTGTCTCCCTCTCTGATTACTTCCCATTCAGTTTGAACTGACTTTTATAGAGGAATTGCCATTCTAATATATTCTGCAAAGTGAACTTTGCTGATGGACATAAGCCCAATACCATACTGTTTATCTGTAATGATTAATTAATTCACTAAGAAATATTGAGTGTCTCTATGTGTCAGATAAGGTTTAGAGCAGTAGGAATGTAGCAGTGGACAAAGTTCCTACCTTCATGTAGCTTACCTGCTGGTAGAGATGTACAAAAGTAATCTTCCCCTTACCTTACATGGAAATTTTCCTTCTCTATGTTTCCGCTTCTGATTTTATAAAAATGTGAAATAATTTACTCTGCTAATTCAAGGTAATCTTGAAAGTTTGATGAAGTGACCTGTTAACTTTGTTTTTTAATTTTTGCAGATGGTTCCAATCCCTACACATTGAAGCTGTGCTTTTCTACATCATCCCATTTATAAGAAGAGAAGAGCATGTTAGAATTTATGTTCACCTTTATTACAATTTTAAAGCTACACTTCATTAAAAAGAAAACTAAGATGGTTGATCTAATGTTGCCTTGCTTACTTTGATTTAAGATCCTGTTCTGTAATAAACAAATATTTTGCCTTGAGTAAACTTGTTGTAAAGTTAAATATTGAATTGTTTTCATTTTAAAATAGAATGTCCTAATGTAGACTATCTACAGCTTCCTTGTAGATTACGCAAATATATGATTTCTAATCTTATTATTTTTCTTCCACAGTGAAAATATATTTGCATTCTTAATGCTAATTATCTGCAAGTATTTTTCCATTGTGTATGAGATTAATGCAGGTGAAAGTATTGCATTTTAATATTATAGAATTCCTATTATATGTTTAGATGTTTAAGTATGTTGCAGTTATTCATATTAAACATAACTTGTATTTATTAAGTATTTTAATCAAGTTTGAGAATAACATTGCACACAATGAATTTTAAGTACTAAAGATTTAGCTGATTTTATATTTCTGAAAGGCTAACAGACATGGATACACTTGTACAGTATGCACTCAAACTTATTTAAATTGGTGTAATTTTTTTTTTTTTTAAGTCATTGTCCATTTGTATTGCCATGCCTCTGTTTCTAGTTCCAGTTTGGAGATTTTATAAAGTTACAACAATGAGTTAATGTGTTCATCTTCATTTGTTGCATGTGACTTGATCTTGAAAACACATCTGGTATTTGGCATTAAGCTTTTAATAGAAGTTATGATTAATAATTCCTAACCTGAGATCCATGAATGGGCTTTAGGGAGTCCCAGAACCCCTTAAAATTGTATGTAGAATTTTGGGTACTTGCATTTTTATTTTTTACTCTTGAATCCATCAGTAATATATGTATTTTTCTATATGGTGCAAGGTGTAAGGATCTAATTTTATTTTTATTCCAAACAGATAGCTATTTGTTTCAACACCATTTATTAAACATTCTTTCTCCCACTGGATCTGTTTTTTTTCCTTTTTTTAGAAAGAATATATCGTAAGGAAGGTGTAAATAGGGTGTAAAACATGGTATTAAGAGACTATATATACGGGCGCCTGGGTGGCTCAGTCGTTAAGTGTCTGACTTTGGCTCAGGTCATGATCCCAGGGTCCTGGGATCGAGCCCGCATCGGGCTCCCTGCTCAGCGGGAAGCCTGCTTCTCCCTCTCCCACTCCCCCCTGCTTGTGTTCCCTCTCTCGCTGTGTCTCTCTCTGTCAAATGAATAAATAAAATCTTAAAAAAAAAGACTATATGTAGCACACTTGAGTGCCTTGGTGGCTCAGTTGGTTAAGCGTCTGCCTTCAGCTCAGGTCATGATCCCAGGGTCCTGGGATGGAGCCCTGCATTGGGCTCCCTGCTCAGTGCGGAGTCTGCCTCTCTCTCTCCCTCTGCCTGCCACTCCCCTTGCTTGTGCTTGCTCTCTTTCTCTCACTCTTGTAAAAAATAAAATCTTAAAAAAAAAGAGAGACTATAGTACACTTGTTATCAAATTCATTTTTTAAGATGAGTTAATTAATTTGACATAGCGCATAAGCAGGGGGAGAAGCAGGCTCCCCACTGAGCAGGAAGCCTGATGCGGGGCTCAATCCCAGGACCCTGGGATCATGACCTGAGTTAAAGCAGACAAAGCTTAACCAGCTGAGCCACCCAGGTGCCCCCAATTCATAGCTTTTTTATAATAAAAATGTGATATAGCCATTTTATATTTATCTTCAAAAGAGGGAAAATGTTTCATCTACCCAGATTAACTGAATAGTTGGCAATAGCAGTTTTGTGATCTTGAGACTTTTAAATTTGCAAGTAGACGTTCCATTTAGATCTTTTGTAAAAGTTTTATTTTGAATTTTAACTTAAAAGAGTTTGCCTTAATCCTTTTAGAAATGAGACAGGGGTTTAAAAAGTTTAGAGCTATTGAATAGAAAGTTAAGCTGGAAACTAAACACACATTAACATTTACTTCCCCTTGAATTTTAATAGCTGCGGACAATGTCCCTTTAGCCCTCTAAAGACCTAGAAAAATTTAAATTCAGTCCAGAGGCGTTTTAGACTCTTAACGATGGAATACAGTATGTTTTGCCGAGGGTAACTTTGTGTACGAACTCTAAGTGTATGGTACTGTGTTGTGTATGTACATTCCTCATTCATTCATTGCCAATGTAAAACCTAAGTTTACCTAACTCTACAATAAACAAAGCTTTTTTCCCCCTTCCCTCAATACTTTTCTACATTTATTGCAAAATTAAGATGTCTTAATTTTAAAAGATAACTTCTGAGTTTATGTAATAATTGTCTCCTTCTCTTCCCCTCTTCTGAAAAGTAATGGTGATGGTTATAGATTATTTTGTATTTTAGGAAACAAAAACTTGATGATGACAGGGCTTATTTAATTTAGATTTGGTTTATTTTTTATTTATTTTTATTTTTTAAAGATTTATTTATTTGACAGCACAAGTAGGCAGAGTGGCAGGCAGAGGGAGAGGGAGAAGCAGACTCCCCTCTGAGCAGGGAGCCCGAAGCGGGGCTCGATCCCAGGACTCTGGGATCATGACCTGAGCCGAAGGCAGACGCCTAACCAACTGAGCCACCCAGGTGCCCCTTTAGGTTTGGTTTAAGTGGTATTGACTATTTTTTATTTATTTTTTTAAAAGATTTATGTGTTTTAGAGAGAAAGCACAGGGAGGGGCAGAGGGAGAGGGAAAGAGAGTCATAAGCAGACTCCGCGCTGAGCATGGAGCTGACGGGGGACTAGATCTCAGGACCCCAAGATCATGACCTGAGCCGAAACCAAGAACTGGTAGCTCAACCGACTGTGCCACCCAGGCGCCCCTAAGTGGTATTGACTTTTAGATATGAACTCTTTCTTAATTCTCTTTCCCCAACAAAATGATGAGTAAATTCTTCAGGTGTAAAGTATGTTTAAAAAAAAAAAAAAATTAGCACAAGCAGGGGGAGCGGCAGGCAGAGGGAGAAGCTGACACCCCACTGCGCAGGGAGCCTGATGTGGGGCTTGATCCTGGGACCCTGGGATCATGACCTGAGCTGAAGGCAGATGCTTGACCAACTGAGCCACCCAGGCGCTCCTAAAGTGTGTTTAAGTTGTACCTTACTGATCTGTGCACTGGTGCGTCAGCCCTATACTTTGCTATCAGTAATGTCTTCGACAGTTTACTTGGGCATCCCTGCTGTTAATATCTGATATTATCCGATCCTAGAATGGAATTGGCTTTGGCAACGTTCTCTCTTTCCTTAGCCTTAACAACATTTCTTGTGCTATCTTTCTGCTTTTAGGAGAACATGAAAGAACAGACTCTATAGCTGTAAAGAAATAATACTAGCTTTTGTTTTTTAAATATTGGAATCCTATTCCATATCTAAATTCCATTAAATATTTGATGATACCTCTGTATAACTGAGTTAAGGAATGTAAGCTGCCTATTAAAGTCCCACTTTCCTGCTGAAGGTATTACCCCAAATAAACAAAACAAAACTGCCATTGTAGCTGACAGAAGACTTACCAGCATCCTAGTGATTTGGTTATCCAGACTATATTTTCTAGGACTGAACTGGGAGAAGAGAATAAAAATGACCAAATAGGGTCAATTATGTTTCATTTTTTTTTTAAATCACTATTTGTAGGGATAGGTTGCTAGGGAACTGCTTTTTAGTAGTTATCAGTGATACTGTATTCCTCTCCAGAGCAAAGCAATTTTGACTGTAGAGCATTCTTCCATAATTAAGAATCAAAAGCACAAGGAGCTTTGCTTCACTTAAAAAGTTCTTCAGGTCGCAAAGGTCCTTGTAAGAAAGATAACTGCAATAAACCTTCCTGCCTCCATATGGCCATTTGACTTAAGAAAATTTAGTCCATTAAAGGGCCATGTAAAGTAGCAAGCCTTTTTGGGGTCCCAGGGTGGCTCACTACTTTAAGCGTCTGCTTTCAGCTTAGGTCATGATCCCAGGGTTCTGGGATCGAGCCGTGAGTCCAACTCCCTCTCAGTGGGGAGTCTGCTTCTCCCTCTACCTCCCTCCCCCACTCATGCTCGCTCACTTTCTCTCAAATAAATAAAATCTTTTTTAAAAAAAGTAGCAAGCCTTTTTTTATCATAGTACCACTTGTTTGCTCATAGAGTTAATCACAAAAAACGATTTAGAGGAAACAAAAAATTAAGGTTCATAGGTTCTGTCCCTCAGCATGTTTTATTCCTTCTAAATTATTTCTACTATGATGATTTCCAATGTCAGCTAAAAAATAAGTGGTGCAAATGTGATTCCTGCTTAAAGCCAAGAAAACCATTGGGAATTTGAAATCTAGTGGATATTTAATCTGTAATGTCATTGCTTTTTCCCTAAAACCAAAAAAAAAAAAAGCCGAAACAAAGCCTAGCATTTTTACCAAACGGATTCGAGTGCTAATTCAAAACTGATACATTTTATTTAGTTCATTCAGCTAATCACCTTTCTAGCCATCTCAATTTTAATTTTAACATGCTTTGAACTTGAACAAATACGGAAGACTTTGCTTTACCACTAGAAATTTCTTGAATATAAAGCCCTTTATCTGAGGAAGCACTTGAAAATCTCTTCGTGTTTTGTTTGTTTTTAAGTTTTTATTTGAATCACCCGGTGCCCTTCATGACAAGTGCACTCCTTAATCCCCATCACCTATTTAACCCCATCCCCCACCCACTTCCCCTCTGGAAAACCATCAGTTTGTTCTCTTGCTTTTTTCCCCCCCCTTTGCTCATTTGTTTAAGTTCCACATATGAGTGAAATCGTGTGGTATTTGTTATTTGTCTTTCTCTGACTGACTTATTTCACTGAGGATTATACTCTAGCTCCATCCATGTCATTGCAAATGGCAAGGTTTCATTATTTTATATGGCTGAATAATACTCCATTATATATCTATATCTCATATCTTTATCCATCAGCTGATGGACACTTGGGCTGTTTCCATAATTTGGCTATTGTAAATAACACTGCTGTAAACATTAGGTTGCATGTATCCCTTTGAATTAGTGTTTTTGTATTCTTTAGGTAAATACCTGGTAGTGGGATTGCTGGGTTGTAGGGTAGTTCTATTTTTTACTTTTTGAGGAATCTCTGTGCTGTTGTCCAGAGTGGCTGCACCAGTTTGCATTCCCACCAACAGTGCAAGAGGGTTTGTTTTTCTCCACATCCTCGCCAACACCTGTTGTTTCTTTTTTATTTTAGCCATTCTGACAAGTGTGAGGTAGTTTGGATTTGCATTTTCCTGATGTTAAGTGATAATGTGTCTGTTGGCCATCTGTATGTCTTCTTTGGAGAAATGTCTGTTCATGTCTTATGCCCATTTTTAAATCATATTATTTGTTTTTTGGGTGAAATTCTCTTAGTTTTAATTTATGAATTATGAATTTATGAATTTAATTGCTGCCTCTCGCCTTTCTTCATTTTGTAGAGTAATTGAGGTTTGAGTGAGCCTTACTGACTTAATCTGATTCCTGCACCCCAGTGGCTCCTAGTGCTCCCTTGGAGAACATTTCAACAGTTTGTAGGAGTGCTTTTTCACAGTTTAGGGGGCTAATACTACAAATATTTGATGGGCAGGGACTAGGAAGAATTGTCCCTTGTCCTATATGAATTGCCAGTATCCCATCAGATATTATCTGATCTTAGAATTGACTCTCTTTTGTAGATAGAAACTCAGTGTTTTTGTATACAGTACAATGAATTTCCTAGGAATGCAACTGCCTTGTAAAGCAAGGAAAGATGATTGTTTTGTTTGGAATATTTCTAAGAGTTGTTTGCTGTTTTGGAAAATTATATCATTACATGTAAGTATTTGAGTTGACATTACAGCACATCAGGGTCAGTTTTCATTTGCAGCAGTCCTACTCCTCTGTCTTCTATTGTAGTCATTCCCGAACAGTTATGTATCACAATATGCATTGATTATAAGTTTTATTTCTCCCTGATAATATAAGTTTTTATGTGTTTTTCTTCAAATACTGTGTGTGTGTAGTAGGTAGGTATTGTCAAGGAATTTTATTTCAGCATGATATAAGGATGTCAGATTGTCTGGGTTGGGAAGCATTGCTTTAAACTAATCTGGTTCTGGGTTGAACAGGTAAATCTAGGTTGATCCACAGATAGTGAAGCCTAGGATTTGTTGGTGAGTGGGTGAGGGGATGCTCTCCCAAGGGGGTATGGCCTGCATCTATGAGGTAGGCCTGGGACTGCCGTTGCCGCTTTGCTATCTTGAGAGAAACCGGCAGGTGGAGAAAAAATACACAGAAGAGAAAGACACCCTAAATTTAGACAACTTGTGGAAACCATTGTGAGCATAGGCTAGTTTGATCATGCTCAGTAGACTGCTGTCTTCAGTGTTCCCTTTTCAGTTTGAAGTAATGTCTAAGCGCCTAAATCTCACCTTTAGCTGTTGTAAAACAGCACAATCACATGAAAGAACACAGTTGTTTGACGGGTAGCCCTAGTCTTACTTATTTTTTTTTTAAAGATTTTATTTATTAATTTGAGACAGAGAGAGAGAGAGAGAGAAAGCATGAGCAGGGAGAGAGGCAGAGGGAGAGGGAGAAGCAGGCTCCTAGCTGAGCCAGGAGCCCGATGTGGGGCTCGATCCCAGGACCCTGGGATCATGACCTGAGCCGAAGGCAGACGCTTAACCATCTGAACCACCCAAGGTAACCCTATTTTTAAACCTGAGATATTTTTATCTTTTTGCCAGTCTGGGCCTATGACCCATTGTATTTTCTCACTTTGAGTTTTTCGTCATAAGTACTATCTTAAAGTTTAAACATAAGTAAAGTATTTCTGGACTCTTCTACAGTGAAACTATTCTCTGTAGATTTGTTAATGAGCTGCCTTATTTTCAAGAGCAGAAAACTTTAATATATACTCAACCACAAATTCTATTGTGTAACTGAAATCCTTTTATGAAAATCTTACAGAACTTGATTGAATTAAGCAGAAGCACTGAATTGGTGGCAATTTCTGATTTGAAAACATATATAGCTCCCTTTTGTGATACAGTAATCAGATAGGCTAAAGCAGCTGAACAACCCTGAAATATTTGCTTTGAGTTGATTTGATAATTTGGTTATCATTTGGTTTTTTTCTCCCCAGAAATACCAAGAGAAATCAAGAGCAATATTAATCCTTTCTGGGGAGTAGTTACGGATTTTTGAGAGCCTGGAAATAAGCCAGTAAATGGCC